TTTTATAAGTCTTGATATTTTCTATTTGGGTACTATTTATTCACTACTTTCAAAAAATTTTGTTCAAGAAAGCTTCTTTTTAGAGCAGCTTTCAAAAAAGTTAATTTTTCCATAACAACTTTACAATTACTTTTATAAAAAGCTGCAATTATCCCAAACGAACCTTGAGAGCCTATTTGGGATAGCTTTTTCCCTATATTTTTCAAATAAGAACCAAAACTTAGCTATTGCTTTCCTATTATTTTTTCACTACTTTACAAAAAACTATGATAAAAAACTGCTTTTTGCAATCATAGTAGTAATAATTTCACAATCAATTTTATAAAATGATGCGCTCATACCAAATAGATCTGAAATTTATATGATGAATGTCTTGATACAACATCCTCATGCATATTTTATATTCTTAAGTTTTTCAATAAAAAAATAAAAAAATAAAAACTTTAGAAAGACTCATAAAATCAAGTTACATAAGTGATGCTGAGCATCTTTCACTGTTGTCTTTATCATTTTTCTTTAGTGGTGGATGAGAATTTTTGTCCACTCTAATTCTCAAGTTCCAATTGAATTGAAGACAGTACAGCTAAATCTTATCCAAGATGCACCTGAAAATACCTAATTTCATCTAATTCCACAGAATAATTCCTAATCAATAACACAGATAGTAATTTAAAAGTCTGCTTAAAATATAAATAAAGCAGGTAGATCACAAGGGTGAGTGAGTCCCAAGGAAAGTTCCATGTAAATGATATCAGGTTTCGAATCATGGACAAATTATTCTATGCGGATACGGATGCTGTCCGAAGGCAAATCAGAGCAAGCCACGTCACCCCTTTACTGTGTAACACGGCTGTGCACCCATTGTGTACCGGGTGACGTGGGGCACTTTGATTCGCCTCTGAACAGTCCGGTGTCCGCAGAATAATTTCTCCAAAACATACGGGCTTTGAGGAGAAAGATTTGGTCCAAACTTGTAAAGAAACACGCTAAAACTTTATAGACCGGAGAAGAAGATAATTTCGCTCGAAAAGCTTGTAATATAAAGCTCTTATGTTCATTAGAATAGAAGACTTTGGTTCAAAATCGAACTGGAACTTACTCAAAGTACTCATCCAGTTTGATATACAGCAAAAATACTAAAATGAAAATTAAATACAACAAAGGGGGGCAGAGCTGAGGTCCAGCTTATTGGAAAGTACTAAAATGTTTATTTTCTTCAATTTGAGTATAGAATTGAGAGGTTAAGTGCAATCTCTCTACCTCAAACGGTCAACAGAAGTTAAACAGTTTTAGCGAGGGACATACCTCAAAAAGGGCTCTCTGATCTCACTTTATTGAAGAGAGATTGATCTCTTATTCTTCTTTTCCATTTTGATGGTCAGCAGAAGTTTTTAGATCATGTCTTGGAGGTATATCTACAAAGCCGTCCCACTTATCTACCATCTCTTGCAACTTCTCAAAGCCCTAAAGACAAAGTGAAATGAAGAGCTTGGCTGAATAATTTTATGAATAAGCATGTTAAAGTGGAAAAAAAAAAACTGCGATGATCAAATTTAAGGATTCTCCCAGCATTTTTACTGCTTTTCAAAGCAGTTTTTTAATATAAAATTTTTAATTTTTGGATTAAAAAGCTGCTTTAAGAAGCAATAAGAAAGCTGTCCCAAATGAAGCCTAAATTTTAATTATTGGCATGAAATGTCCAGTTCAGCTTGCACTAAATATGAAGGAAACAGAGAGGTTGTTGGGTGAAAATTTCATGTAATAAGCATGTTAAACTGCAGTCAACTTGTTTATAAAGATCCATTTTAAATTTTGACATATGCGCATGATCTGTTGAGCATGAAAGAGATCTATTGATACAGTATATAATCTAGGATTTATCAAAATTCGCAGTCCACTAACTCTTAATCAAGCAAAAATTTCACCTCTTTCAAAGCAAATCAATAAACACTTAAAATTTGTTCTAAATGATAATTCAAAGATCATCCAAATCTAAAATTTTATAAAAAAAAATATGGGTGGGAAATAAAGCAACACAATGATTTGAATTCCATTGCATTAAGGAAAACAAGATTGTAGTTAACTTGATAAAAATCTCAATCACATATGGAAAATCAATCACAAAACTTGTAGATGAAGAAAGAACATGGATAAAAAACGCTCAAGAAAGGGGCCAATCCTCCGTATATATAAAGATTGCGTCGTTAAGACCTGCACCGCATTTAACAAGTTCACATCCAACAACACATTTTGTGTAAAAATTTGGAAATTTATTAAGAATATAGATTGAACCTTTACATGCCTCAGGTCTCTACTGTAATAAAATATTAGTTATTTATCATAATCCCTATTAATAACCAGTTTTTAGAAGATTAGATGATATACTTATATGGAAAAATAACCTATTAAAAAAAAATCAACCCATAATTGAAAAGTTATAATGCATTATACAGTTTTAAATCTGATTAGATAGGTTGCATTTTCAACATCAATACTTTTTAGGGCATTTGTCATTAATAAATTCATTAAAAATTGATGTATTTTTACTCATTTCATATGCATAAGGTTCCTTTCTATGTATTTGTGAATAAAAAAAATCCAATAACCAAAAACACAAATAAATTTCATTTGATTTATTGAGCTACTTTTGCTGAACTTCATTAAGAGTTAAATCATCAGTTTCTTCAATTGGTTTATCAACATTAACAAGCATGATTTATTTAAGCTTATAGTCAGGAGCAGATTCAATTTCTAATAAAACTCATATCAAAGAGTTTCTATTACAAATCTTGGTACATCATCAAAATAAAATTTGATTTCTATAAAAGTCCATATACAAGATTTTCAATTAGTTCATATTCAGCGTCAAAATTAGATTTAATTAGAAGCACAGGTTCACAGTCAGGAATAGATTCATATTTTTATTGTAATCTAGGCTCATATATGATCTTATGTTCAATTTCAATTTCTAATTAAGATTTAGCATCAAATTTTATCTCAACAAATTTGATTTCAAATTTAAATTTTGACTCTTGCCCAATCTTAGATTTAGATTGACTTTATCATGCTTATTCAAATATATGTTAAACCTGAGTCGAGTTTGACCAAGCTAATTTCAACCAAAAATCAAAGATTTCAATTCTGACTCGACAAAAGTTTGAGTAGAGTCATCACTGCTCAATTTCAAGTAGAATTTCAAGTAGATTCAAGTAAACTTTATTAATTTTATTAATTATATTTTAAGTTTAAATCATAATTATTATCTATATAAATATGAAAAAAAAATCAATTTTCATAAATTCCATCTCCATTAATTATCTCTATCAATATTCCATAAAGCCTAGCAATTCTCCATCTTCCATATTCACTTCATGCCACCTAAATGATTCATGGGATTATTACTGGAACCTCGTCAATTTGTGAATTATTGTAATTAATCAATAATTATTATCCTGACTAGTAATCAATCTATAAACTATTATAATTATTCTTTCTTGATTTAGTATGTTTTATATTAGAAGCTCTTCTAGAATTGCATAAATGCTACATAAATGAAATAAACTTTTATTATTGGCCTCCTTTAGTTCCAACTAATTTTCCCATGTGTAGCCTTCATTGCTGTAGCATTATCTATACCATTCTCTCTTTGCAGCAAATTGCTACCACATTTTTCCTTCCCATGAATAAAAAAAAAAATCCATTTTCACTTGATATCAAGTTCATTTGGAACCAAGGTTGACGGCCCAAATCCAACCAGAGAATTATAAATCCATTCAATATATCGTTAGAAAGAAAAAACTACCTCAAGTTGTTATAATTGGTTCGCACCTTGTTAAGGGAAGAATAAAATTGGATCATTTACTTAGCATTAGACCTTGTAAGGCAATCATATATTCAATACTTAGGATGGACATGTTTCTATGGTGATGTCCTAGTTATGGAACTTTATGGTTCCTGAAGTGACATTTGTATGTTACTTCGTTCAACAATAGAATTTTGGGATATCATAAATCAAATATATTCTAAACTCTACAAGGCGACTTAAATCTATCAGATAAAAAAAAAAAAAATCACAGGGCTTAGCTTATTTGAAATAGTTTAATAAGCATGAGTCAAATATCATAAAGGGCGCTCTTTCTCGTAAGTGGAGAACGTATTAATACAATATGGTAGACATGAACTATAGAAGATATCTTAAAAAAAGTTCCTAATACCAGTTTTAGAAATACCAGTGTAGTTATGTGACAAAAATACTAGTGTAAGAAATACATGTTCAGTTTTAAAATTGATTCAATTGTAATCTGCACATCCAACTGAAAACACCAACTCAAAACACATGTATACAACTTGCAATGGGAAGTGATGATATGATGCTTACTATTCTAGCTGTGAACCGGCCAAAAGATTCTCCCTGTAGGCGCTTAGTTCTCCAATTGTAGAACAACGGCTCCAAAACCTTCTCTAGATCTTGAATCTTCACCCTATTCAGAAAGCACCTTGCCAAACTAGTTTGGTTAGGCGTCCCCCCTAGCCAAACCTGTACACGAAATAAGAAAGATGATCCTCTTCATGAGCACATATGGCTGCTAAGAATACTGGCCTGACTTTACTTTCGACAAATAAAACTAGCATTTCAAATACCTGATAGCTGTTGGGACCATCACCAACAAATCCAAGCTCAGCCATGTAAGGCCTAGCACAACCGTTAGGGCACCCAGTCACCCTTATTACCACTGATTCATTGTATTGAATACCCACCTAAAATAATCATGCATAAATATAGAAACTGACTTAAAGAATGTATTTGATGATGCTCAATGTCAATCTCAAGAAAGGAGAATAATGGCTATTACCTTATCAAGAACCGCTCGTGCACGTTTGAGAATATCAGGTATTCCTCTCTCAGCTTCTGTTATCGCTAGAGGACATAAAGGTAGAGACGGACATGCCATTGCAGTTATATTGAGAGGATCAACATGCCTTGGTTCCTAGAGCATCGTCAAAATAAGTTGAACAAGAAAAATTAAAATATGAATCCAGGAAAAACATGCATTTCCCACGCTGAGCATATTCTACAAATTCATTTCTAGAATTAGTCTATGTAATGCATCCGTCTATGTAATGCTTACTTTTATATTATTAATATATTACAAACAGAACATGATGAACGCTTTTAAAAGATATCAAAATCACCAGAACTGCCGAACACAACAAATCCAAATCTCTTCTCACAAAAAAAAACCCAGCAATTTTAGTTCTATGCATCTATAGTAAATCCCACCACCCACATAATACCAATATGTTTAATCAAATCCAATGCAATTAGCGCACTGTAAAGTCACTTCATCAACTAAGGAAAAAAAAAAGGCTAACAAGCTGTAAGGTCCCTCTCATCACTCCACAAACAGGAGCATTAGAAAGCAAAGCAAAGGAAGAAGGACATCAAATGTTTATTTATAGATCAACCTCAGAAAGGAAAGTAGTGAAATGTCACTTACAGAATGACACATCAGACAAGCTCTGATATGTTGTACTATCTTTTTTGCTCTTATTTTGGTCAATTTAACTCTATCCTTTCCCCTTCATTTCAGAAGCCATTCTTGACCATAAAATAAGAAACAATCACTACTTCTGCCCTCCTTAATTTGAGTCTATCTCTGCATGCTATATTCCCCATCCCCATCAACAATTATGAGAGCAATTGTAAACAACAAAATAGTAATCTCTTGGCTCAAATCCATGAGGTAGGAGTTGGAAATTAGGTCAGACCTACATGTTTTTACTCAATTGATGCCTATATCCTGCTACTGAATTCGTACATCTATAATCACTTCAATAGAAAGAAAATAAAGGGCAGAAAAAATGCAGTCAAACCCCCAACATAACCTTACTAAAACTACTAAATTTGTGTAAGGTGCTTCTTCACAAGGCATAATTAAACTCGACAGCTTAATAGTATGTTGCACTGTTAAATTATTTACCAACAAGGCTATAAAAATTGTTCTCCAAGCTTTTCCCTGCATTTTTTTTTTCTTTAAGCCCAAAAACAAATGCGTGTCCTCTACCAACAAGAGTAGAAGAAAAAACAGTAGAATGAAATGAAATTTTACCAGTAAACCAGCCTGAGCAAGAACTGTAGTAATTGGTTGTCTCCAAGAATGACGAATATCACATAAGATCAAGTTCTGGTTGGGAGTAATACGCACATTTAAATTATAGTTCTCAATTACTTCTCTCAAAGCTTTCTTCATTTTACCTCCAATACGACCATTATCAACATGAACACCACAAAATAATGCACCGTCACCCTGTAAAACAATACGTTTACGTAGGAATAAAAAATGCAATAATCATAGTGAAACCAAATATAACTAAAATGTGCATCATTTAAAAAAATGTTTAATATACTGCATACATACTTGCTCATGCCATCCTAGGTAACTCCTAAATTCCCACTCGGGTAACGGTCTGAATGATTCAAATTTTTTTCCATAATACTGCTCGACTGCACTCCGGAACTTTTCAATTCCCCATTCATTTATTAAATACTTCATTCTACTGTATTTCCTGTCATCCCTTCTGCCATTTTCTCTCTGAGTAACAACTATAGCCTTCACAGCATATAGTATATCTTCTTTTGGTACATAACCAAGGGGTTCTCCCAGACGAGGGAAAGTGGTCTCCAGCCTGTGAGTCCTTCCCATGCCACCACCCACCTAAGCTTTCATAGCGTCATCAAACATTCCAAAAATTTACAAAGACAGAGATAAAATAAGCAGCAAAACTGAATATTTACTACTTACATAAATATTAAAGCCTTGCGGTTCTCCATCACTATCAGAAACTACAACTATACCAATATCATTGGTTAGAATGTCCACTGAGTTGTCTGTAGGCACAGTTACAGCTATCTTGAATTTTCGAGGCAAGTACTGTGTACCATAGATGGGCTCTGGAGAATCTGGAAAATTAGTTCCATTGGAATTGTCATTTCGAGCTGCAATTACCTCAGGAGGCTCTGCTGACATTACCTTCTCACCATCAACCCAGATATCATAATAAGCACCAGATTGTGGAGCCAAAAGTGAAGCGATATTCTCAGCTGTCTCCTGAGAAAATAAGTACTCTTTTTTTGTATATGGAGCTGCTGGAGCAAGAACATTTCTGTTCAGGTCTCCACAAGCACCAAGAGTAGACCCCATATTTTTTATGATTGATCTCATCACAGTTTTGAGGCTCTTCTTTAGGATTCCATGCAACTGAAATGTTTGTCTGGTGGTTAGACGGAGAGTGCCAATACCAAATTTATCTGCAAGATCATCCATTACCAAGTAGAGCTTGTTTGGAACTTTACCACAGGGATTCTTTGTTCGTAGCATAAACTGGTATGATTTTGACCCACGTTCATCCCTGTTGGTCTGTTGATAACTTCCATGAAATTTAATCAATTGGGTCGCAACCTCATTTATGTTAGGGGCCTCAGTTTGCAACTCCTCGTTTAGAGGAAATCTAAGAAAGTTGCTCTGTTCCTTGAACAATTCAACCTTACTTCGTTTAACCACAGCAGTATCTGGCTGCAATATACATGAAACAACGTAAGCAGTATATTGTCTTTATCGAGAAATTAAATATAACTCTGAGAAAACAAATGAAAAGAGATAGAGTTTTTCAGTTATTTCCTAAGTGAAATAATTTCTAAGTAAAAAACTTTCCTTATTGAAGAAATTATGAATCATAATATTTTTATTTTAAATTAATAAAAAGGGGTAAATAATCAAAGTGATCATGTCCCTACTAGTATCAGACTTTTCTTATTTTATAATTTAGTCCATCAACTCATCAAATTGTAATGTGTTTGATCCTTTCGTCATCTCGATATTCTGGAATTGACAGAAATTAGTTCTAAAAGTCTTAGGTGAAGGGTAATTTTGACCTTTTAAGCAAAGAAATGCACTAGAGATCCTCTACCACATTGATAATCATGAAGTTTCATAGGCAAGACAAAATTATTGAATCATCTTCATCCGAAAGTGTGATCTTTAGGTCTTTGAGAGTTGGTGGGTGTTAGACATTAGCAATATATCTTTTAATCAAATAAAGTACAAACGGAATATCCTATACATAAGTAATAAGCATTAGTTTATTTCTTTTATTTTATTTTTAGTTTGTTTTAGGTAGACTGGTTCTATATTGTAAACTTGGTTTACATAAATATTATAAATACAGCTCCTATTATAAGAAAAGAGGATGGAATGAAAGATTTTTTATTTTTTCGCTTTCTAGTTTCTCTTTTTTCCCTTCTTCCTTAAGGAGTCCACACAAACTCAAAAGGTGCTTTCCACTTCTTGATGTAAATCAAAAGCATAACAAATGGTGCTCTTGTTAGACTAAACTCACATCCCCGCCTCCTCTTTCTGCAGTTTGCAGTCTCCACCACAGTCATCCAACTGCCAGCCCTCTTTTCCTCTACAGCCATCAGCCTTGCTGCCTTCAGACTCGCCAAAAGCCTGCCTACTTTCAGCCGTCCCCTGTTTTTCTCAAGAACCGGTCTCCATTTCACCACAATATCAGCCATAACCTGCTGCCCTCCAAGAATCTGCCTTCAGTTGTTCTTTTCGGCAGCAAGAAACCAGCCAAGGGTGCTAGTCCCTTGTTATTCAGCACCAAGCACTCTTCCACATTTTTCCCCACTCCTTTCACCGCAGAAATTGTGTTTCTCCTGCCTTTTTTCAGCCTCAAGAATCACTTTCACCTTCATCCGAGCTGCAGTCCTGCTCCAGGCGCACCATATCTTCAAGAAGGATCCGGCGGAAGTCCTGCTGCCAATCAAGAACCTGCTGTTTCAAGCAGCAGAACCTCCACACCATCATTTTCTTCTTTTCCCCCCACATCCTGCCCTGCAGTTGCCGTCTGCAATACCAGAGAGCTTCACCCCTCATCCCTCTCCAACAGCAACAGCAGCAACCCTCTTCATCCAGACACTGCTCCCATTCATGGCATGTTGTTCTTGACGCCATTCTTCAGTCCCCAGATTCCAGCATAACACCTCCACAGCTGAGGACAACTTCATTGATTCTCCCAACCCCCAAGATTCATCCAGAAGGTTCAACACCTGCGCCAAGTTTCCAGAACTGCTTCTACCACCTCCACTGATCCACAATCAGCTACAATGACCTGTTTTCAAGAACAGCAGTGCTGTTTTAAAGAAGCATACATCAGCAGCCACCAAAGAAGTCTCAACATGAAAAATGCTGAGTTGGCAGAAGCAATCCGGGCAATGCAAACCAATCAAGAATTGAAATTCTCCGAAATATAAAAATCTCTACAACAAACCGATGTTCATTTTGCTTCCATTAGCTCATCCCTTCAACAAAACCATATTTTCATGGATTCCATAGACAAGAGAATTGATAGTTTGTGTATTCACCGTCCACATACTCCACCTCATCAAGATACTTCCTCTTCCACCGGCATCCTTGATTCCGTCAGCCAAATCTCTTCTCCATAGCCGCCACCTTCACAAGTTTCTCTTTTCTTACACATCACCTACCATTATCAAATTCTACTTTACTCAAATAATCTCAACATTTGTTTCAACCACCACAAGGTTTACCTCAACCTTGTGCCATTAACCGCCGTATTTGTCTTCAATCCTTAACTCAATCAGTTAACATCAGTCCTTATCTTTCTCCACATTTTCAAAATGATGCTATGGAACAATTAGTTTCTGAAATGCTTCACTCTGACATTATTTGTCATAATCCCAATTCTTTTCTATTCCAATATTGCTTGTTCAAACACAAGATAGTACTTGGCATTTTTGTATTAATTCCAAAGCCCTTAATATACTTATTTTGAGTGTAAACAAATTTAAAATATTTTTATAAAAAAGTTTTGAATATCCTATATACTTAATTTTAAGTGTATTTGGAATCCTCCAATATCAAGTAAGCTCCAAATACATAGCATCGTGACCTTTTCTTTTAGAACCTCCTCAATCGAAAACTCCTTGTCATGATTTGTTGCTCACGAGATCACATTGTTTTGCCCCAATGAGCTCCCCTCAATACTAGCGACATCAGGCTCTCACTAACAAGATCTCATCATAGGGATGAAATAACCTAAAGGCGATGGCCAAGGCATCATAAGAAGATTGTGAAGGTCATAGAAGACAGGCAAAGCATGTACCTTGTTAGAGGTAAAGATAAGAGGTCTTACAAGTGAATAAGGGTGATCAAGATAGTCCTCCTTCTGGATATAAATTCAATACGAGAGACAATTGATGAGAACTTTAGGTGGCGGACAACATGATACAATGCCAGCATAAGTTTAAAATGTCAACAACGAGTAGAATAGGGATACACTCAGGGGCGGAACCAGCTTCAATTTTGAGGGGGGACAAGTTCAGTACAAAAATAATTATATATATGAAAAGTTGTTTAAAAAAAGTTAAGCAAGAAAAATGAAGAAAAAAAGACGTAATTAAATTGTCATGAAAAGTATGAAAGAAAATATTAAAACTAGCTGTGAAGAAATATATAAATATTTTAGGACAAGTTAGGACAAAAGGGTTTTTTAGGGAGGGGGGTGCAAAAGTGATACTTTAGGAGAAAAAAATGAATTTTTCTACTCTCCTTTTTTTTTTTTTTTTTTTTTTTTTTTTTTTTTTTTTTTTTTGAGGGGGGGTGCAAAATATCTTTGTATTAATATAACTTTCTCCTCGAGATCAACTATTTTTTTACAAACAGCTCTTGAAATAAAAGTTTGCGGGAGTGAACAAAACTCTAAAAAGTTCATATATTTTCAAATACCTACACTCAAATGAACACACCATATCATGATTTGACTCCGCAAATACAATGCTTACAATGAGAGTTTTATAAAGGACCAATTTGACATCCCTTAGAGGTTAAGGGGCAGTGATGGTGAAGCCACCTGCCAATTGAACTGAGTGCCCGACCCCACTTCAAGAAGGAGATATAGACCAATAGGTCTAACCCTTTTTCATGTTCATATTTAGAAACTTTTTTAGTCATTATAATTGTCTCAATCTGCTAGTTATTTTGACAATAAATCTGCATCATCTGGAGCATGTTTAATCTATAAAATAATTTTCAAATATATAATAGAGTGGTAGCTAGTTCAAAATGATCTAAGATAAGTGCCTTACACATAAATTATGCAATTGTGCATGCTCATATAAGGATTTTTATGATCCTAACAATAATGATGATGACAATTATGGTAAATCCCCTTTCACAATGCATTCAAAAGTAATAACATTCACATCATCATCTCAAAATTAATAGCTTAGATACCATGATTCAACCAACTCCCAAAAGCAATAATTAGCAAATATACCAAAGAGAAATGCATGCCATATATCCCAAAATATATAATTCACAAAAACATAAAAAAAATCAGTTTCAATTAAAGGCGCGCATACAGTATAACTAGGCAGAATTTTTTATCGGTCGACCATTCATTATTTTATGAGCAAGCTAACCCCAAAGAGTGAACTGACTTTCCCCACTCCTTTCACAAACCAACCATCCCTTAAATCCATAAAATCCATTCCAAAATCATATGTTCATAAAATCGGAAATGGGTATATTACCATGGAAACAGCTCTCACAATCCAATCGGAGCTAGAGGAAGAAGAACTAGGCAGAGCACGAACCAAACCCACGGGATTAATCACCACGGAGGACCTTAACCCTCGGTATACATTGATATGGAGCTTCAATTCCTTCTCAGCTACGATTGCGTTCGCCGACATGATCGACGCCGCCATCTACGTGAGCTTTAACGAAGCACGAGGCGAACAAAGAAGTGATAAAACAAACAAACAAGATGGAGGAGAAGTAATATACGTAAAGCAACGCCTTCACCGGCCTAACGACGCACTTTCCGGCCGCCGGAAAAGAAAGCGGTGGTCTATTCCTCTATTTGCTCCTTTTGTGGAAAAAAAAGGAAGAAGAGCCGTGGCTATAGGAATGGCGACGGGGAGCTTTTATGATATTTACACCCCAAGAAGTTTTAAAGGGTTCGATCTAAGATTCTAAGGGTAGCGCAGTGGTGATTTTGGCATTAAACTTTTTAATAAATGAGAGTATGGATATCATGGCGTCTGCACTGGCTGCGCGACGCTTCGATGGTTTACAATACGATGGGTGGTCCAATGAACCTGGTCTACTTTTTATACTGATCGACGAGAGGCCAATGGCCACATTTAAGCCCAATGCAGGTCATGGGCCGGCCTTATAGCCCATAGTTGCATCCATGTAATTAGAAATAAATCTCTACATATTAGACTCCTAGTTGAGCTCTTGTAGTTAAGCATTTTCTCATATTTATTTTATGGGGCTTTAGTCTTAGCTCATATTATTAGATTTTTAACTTAATTATCTTAATTCACATAATATGATTCATCAATAATATTGGTGAGAAATGAGAAAGAGTCAAAAAAAATTTTTTTTCAATGCCACATTCAAAATAAAACATGCTAAGTAATACTCACTTTCTAAAACTCTATATTGAGACAATTCTATGGTGAGTGGAGAGAAATGAAGAAAAATTATAAAAAAAATATTTTAGTGTGCATGTTAAATTCAGAATTATTGTAGAAAAGAACCTTCAATATCGTGATGGTAACTTCTAGTGTTATTGTGCTCACAGGCTCCACATCGCAGTGTTAACAAGCTCAACGGCGCAGCGCTTTAGTTCAAACAGAAATTCAAAATTTTCCTAAATTTATTTTCAAAATACATGTTGTTATAGTATTACTCCAACATAAACCATAACTTCTTTGATTGTATCAATGAGGGCATATATTAAGCATCAAAGAAGATGGGGAATGATGTGCCAAAAAAAAAAAACAACAACAACATCAAGCTTTTATCCCACTACATAGGGTCAACAACATGAATCCTTTTTTTCCATTGCGTCATGTTAAGAGTCAAATTCTCATTAAAATCTAATAAAAAATATCATTTTTAATATATTCTAATAAAGTCTTATTAGGTCTACCTCTATTTTTTTTTTTTAACATAAGCCAAATCTAATACATATACTCTCCTAACCAGGTCATTAAAATGCCGTCATTTTAAGAGACCAAACCATCTAAGGCAACTCTCTCTAATATTATCTACCATTGGAGATACTCCAACCTCGTCATGTATATACTCGTTTCACATTCTATCTCTAAGAGTAAAGCCACTCATCGACTAAACATCCTCATCTCTGTAACACTTAATTTTATGCTTTTTTTAATGGCCAGTATTCTATGTCATAAAACATTGCAGGTCTCACCACCATCTTATAGAGTGTTCCTTTAAGTTTGAGGGGTAATTTTCTATTACACAACATGCCCGATGTGTTCCTCCACTTCAACCATCTAACTTGAATTCTAGTAATAATATTTTCACTATTTCACCATCACTTCAAACAATAGATTTCAGATATCTAAATGTGCAATCTTTTTAATGACTTGATATCCCAAAGTCACAAACCCCTACTAGATTTATTAGGAATAAAATTACATTTCATGTATTTGGTTTTAGATCTAATCAAACAAAAACATTTAGAATCTAAGATTGACCTCCGTAATTCAAGTTTGTCGTCAACTCCCTTTCTACTCTTTTCAACAAGAAGAATATCATTAGCAACCAAAAAATAATAATAAAGGAAGAAAAAATAAAACATAAATGCTGTCAATATTTAGTTGTTCAATTTCAACCAAATTTGCATTGACATGAGATGAAATCAGATTTGATGCACTAACTAAAAAGCTAAAATTTGTGAGAATAACCTCTTTTTTTTTCATATATGACAACTAATTCATGTACCATTTTCTAGAGAGATAGTTGCCTATTTCAATCACATGTCCAAAAATATGTTCTAGAAAATTCTAGAAAGCTAGAAGCAACATTTTATTGAACTTGGCCTTTCTTGGGAAATATTATGTTAATATTGGACTTAGTATTTATAACTTCTGAACATTGAGAACAAAAATGAAAATTTCATCATATTATATGCTGTTGATATTTTTTTAAGAGAAAATGCTAAGCTTTCAATATATATATATATACACTTGATATTATTATAATATAAATTTTGAATGATTCATCTCAAATTTAATAATTTTGAGATGCATTTTAATTATGTTTTTAACGCTTATTTAATTAAGCCTAATAATTTTCTAATTATACTATACCGTTTGCTTTTATTGAAAAAAAAAAATTTATCCAAAATCAACTTGCATAGTTAATCTACTTAACCATGTATGTTATACAGATTTCTTCGATTTAGACATTGAGGTGTCAATTTTTTCTCAAATGCCATCGAATCATGAAGGCCGGCTTTCGTTCTTTTTCAATAGATGGGTCTTATAGTTGAAAATTTATTTTGTGCGGACGTTGAACGTCATCCGGAAATCAACCAGAATACGTGCATGTCACCCATGTGCTTGGTTCTGCGGCTCGGTACTGCTGACGTTGCGCATTCTGGTTGGTCTACGAACAACGTTCTGCATCCAGTCTTCGCACAGAATAATTTCTCATTATAGTTAAGCTCCCTCATGCCCTTACACTTAAATATGAATCCTTAGAAACCCTAAGAAAAATTTTGCGATCCTTCGTTACCTTTTTGATGGCCTATCTCTCATAAAAATTGTCTAATTGAGACTCTCTTAGCCCATAGATTTTGACACAATGTTAAAACTCTTAAAATTATTATTAAAATTAATATAATACATAAATAATTAATCAATTTCTGTACTAAACTCTTTTTAAAATAAAGAAAAAAAATAAAACTTGGAGTTATTACATTCTGCTAAAAAAATTCCAATATTTTTTTTCTGTAATAATAGTTTTTGAGCCATTACAGTAAAAAACTTATTCAATGAGTCTGCTATGCCCTGCAAAAAATATATTGTTTATTAATTATAAATTATTTTTTATTATACTAATTAGACATAATAATTCACAATTATTAAAGAAAATTATAAATAATACAAAATTATAAAGTTAATATAATTAAACTAATTAATTTACTTAGATATATTAAAAAAAATTATAAATTGGAGGCAAAACAAAGGGGACTCATTAATTTTAAAAATTCAATTTAATCTCATATATTTTAATAATTATATTAATGTAATTTAAAATGAGCTGACTTTTAATTATTGAGTCAGTGGGAGCCGTGCCCCTACTGTAGACCCACCCCTGACAACTACAAACTTTCAGGTTGGAGAATTTTAAGTATTGAAACTTAATTTAATAATAATATGAAGAAGAAAACACAACTCATCTTGACCTGTTGGTTGAGAGCTTAGGCTTCCAACTAAGAAGTCTTGGGTTCGAGTCTTTGTGTATGCTTTGTGTGTGTGAGTTTGCTTTAAATGGCCTAAATGTCCCAAAAAAAATATGAAGAAGAAAAGAAGAAGATCAAAGCAAATGCATGCCTTGGACAAAAAAAGCTTCCTTTGATATCAGTAAGTTCATTGTGTACACTTTCAGACTGTATCTTTCACAGAATAATCAATTTCCATCATTTAAAGAATGTGGTAGCAGTAGAAGCTACTGCTGAAGGGACATAAATGGAAATAGCACTTCTAACTCAACATATATGGCTTTATTTGGGACAACTTTCTTACTGTTTTTTAAAACAGCTTTTAATTTTGCACTAAAATATTGTTTTGAGAAGCAGTAAGAAAGCCGTCCCAAACGAAGTTATAATCATAAACTTTAAAGCAATAGTCAATCAAAAACCTTAAAGAAGATAACAAAACCAGTTGTGCTATCCTAAATGAAATGCCCAAAGAGAAGTTCAAACAGATAAAAAATAAGTAAAAAGGAGGTTATCAATGGCTGCCTGCTTATTATGAATTTATGGTAGATAGAGTTAGGCCTCTTGTGCGACCAGGTGCTCCTCCTTTAAGTGAAGACACATCAAGAATGAACCTAAGAAATGCAAAAGTAGCATTGTATAAAAAGCCACAATATGAAAATACAGCAATAAAGAAAAAATGTTTGAAAAGCCTTACTTGGTTGAAGGAGATGCACTGAGTTCATTAGTTCCACAGTGAATTAAGACCTTCTGATCTACTTTGGATATCGAGTGAGAGAATGGAACTATGAAACTCTTCATAGCTGTTGAGATATCAAAGAAATTTCAAGTTTTCTCAGAGAAAATTATCAAATAAATGGAAATTTGTGAAGTGAACCGTTTACAACATACAAGGTTGATATGGTGATTTGTCATTTTCGTCTAGAAGAAGTATTTTCTGCATGAAATATAGTTTGCATAAGTTAATATATAAAAGAAGCTTTCTAAAGTGCGTTCTCTACTCTGTAAAAGTATAATGAGCACCTTTAGATTCTGATAGCATGACTCGAGCTTATCATTTACCAACATATGATCGAAAAGGCCTGCGGTTTTTGCTTGTTCAAGCTCTTCTCTGGCATTTCTTAGTCTCTTTTGGATCTGCTCCTCAGTCTCTGTTCCACTGTAAATGACAATAGAAACCAGTTAGATGGAGTTCTAAGAAGTGTGTTTGACAACCAGATCTATTAGAAAAACTCTTCCTTTCCATTTTTTTTAATATAAAAACTCTTCCTTTCTCGTAACTGTTTCAAAGCTAATTTTATGGATACATTAACTATTCTTTATTTTTGGACATTTAGATCAATTAAAGCAAACTCACACATGCATCACATACACGAAACTCGAATCTAAGACCTATTAATTTAAAGCTAAAGCTTCCAACCAACAGACCAAGATGAGTTGCGTTATACCTTAACTATTCCATACAAATCCTAAGTTGGTGTAATAAGATGCATGAAAAGGTTCGTAAATACCGTGCACGAAGTCGTAGCTCAAGCTCCTCAAATGATGGAGGGCAAACGAAGATAAATATTGCTTCAAGGGGGCTAGCCCTCACAGATCTTGCGCCTTGAACATCAATATCAAGAATGCATCTCTGCAATACCAAATAAAAAAAGAGGGGTAAAGATTACCAAATGCTAGGAAAATGGACTCCAACTGGATAAATTTAAGAATCCGTCATTTACAAGTACCTTCCCTGCATCAGAAACAGCTTCAACTGCCTCTATGCTTGTTCCATACAGGTTTCCATGAACCAATGCAGATTCAAGGAACTTCGCATCCTGTATATCTTTCTCCATCTTGTTCCGCTCGGTGAAATGGTAATGAACTCCATTCATTTCCTTGTCCCTCGGAACTCGGGTTGTGTGGCTTACAGAAAACCCAAAAGTTGATGGAAATTCTTTCATTAGCTTTGCTATTAAGGTGCCCTTGCCAACTCCTGAGGGGCCACTAATTACAATAGGCTTTGATCCATATCCTATTAAGCCCTTACTCCAGGCCACTACCTCAATGCCAAGCTGCTTCCTTTTCTGTTTAACAAAAGGAGTGTCTACCTACAAACAATACAAAGAAATCAGGACTCAATGAAAGCTTTGGAATATATTAATCTCAATACAGCAACATTTTCTACTTGAAAAGCAATATGGGATTCATGAATCGTCCATTATAGGCTAGTAAATTCTTAAAGTCTATAAGTCATAAAGATATCAGCAAACTTGTAATTTTCTCTGGATGAAGATCAAAAGCCTGGTTGAAATAAAACTAAAAAAGGGGTATTTACATACATACCACTTTATTTCATGCTATTTACATTTCTAACGCCCAAAATTTTAATATTACATTATTAACACTCATATAAAATTTTAATATCAAATATTTAGTCATATATTTCATTCTTACCATCCATACCACCCTATAAACTTTAATATTTCATTCAATGCACCCATATTTGTTCTATAGGTGGTAGGCATGAAATATTAAAGTTTTAGGTGTTAGGTATATAAATAGCATAAAATAAAGTGGTATGTATGTAAATCCCCTGAGAATTTCATACCAATTTAGTTCATGCTATTTACATTTCTAACATCCAAAATTTTAATATTACATTAAAAAAATATCATATGCTAGGAACAATTTTGAAAGGCCATTTGATGTTTGTCATTATGCAAACATATAAGAGAACAAAAAATAGGCATCTCCAGAATAAGTACATGATGCATATTCCAAACTAGGCTGTATTTTTAACAAAAAAATATTCTATTAAACAAATCATTCTGCAAAACATATCAAAGAAGGAATCAGCTTTGCAAAATATACAAATTATATTTGAAAAAGTGAAGAGAAGAAACCTCAAGGAACCAGATGCTATTATCTGTTGAAGATTCTCTTAGAAGTATCAATACCCGTTCACTATCCAGAATAATAGACGAAAACCCTTCACTTGCAACCGGTTTTGCGCCAAATACAACAGGCTCCAACCTGCTAATCACTGTAAATTTAGATAACTAAAATTCTTATAGAAAAAACAAAGGAAAAAAAAATGAAAGCTAGGTGGAAGTGACAATTCAAACCATTTGCCCGTTTGCTTGTCCAAAACTTTGATGTTAATTGACATGTTAGGAATGCCTTCAGATCCACAAACTAAATACTGAACATGTAGCCATTATATTAGTTCAACAAAGGCTTAAAGGTTGCAAACTTTATTACATAAGTAAAGATAAAGAATGCATATACTTACTACTTTATCACCAATGATTGTTAAGGTCTCATAGCCTTGTGGTTCTGAATCAAGCACCACAGGTGGACAATTTTCAGTGTTACAAAAACCAAATTCAGGAACTTCTTCCCCCTGACAAGTTAGAACAAAAATTTCAAAAAATCCTTATTTTAGTCAGATTTCCTCGCTTACTTTCTTCCTATTACAACAAGTTTCTAACAGCGATAACTTACCATAGAAAGTTCAGTTTTGTACAGATCAGCCTGTTTCCTGCATAAAGAAAGCACATAAAAAGGTAAATTACTCACTAATAAAAGAGAAAAACACCACAATTGTCATCATCGGAGAGGCAACGAAGATGGAAAACAAAAAATAACTTTTTTACCGCACAGTGAAATCAAAAATAAAAAACACAGCGATGTTACAGCTGCCTAACATTATGAACAGAGATCATAATTATGTTCACTTTAGCACGTCAACCTGGATCTCATTCCCAAAATCAATTAAAAAAACAGCCAAATTTTAATTACTGAAACCAGATTGGACAAAGAAAAAGCTTCACATCCAGATGAACTATTTCTAATTTGAAAACATGAATTGAACTGTAGCAAAGCATCGGAGAAAGGAAAAGAATCAAACAAACGACCCAAGTCTAATCAGGAAGGACCCAAACGTTTCTTTTTCTTTTTTTTCTTGACAAAAATTTTACCAAAATTTCAAATGCGGTATCAGTAAACTCCAAAATCCTTACGAAACCAGAACCAATGTTCGAAATTGCTATCAAGAACACAAAAACAACAGAAAAAGGAAACAATTAAAGTAAACCTAAGGGCATTACTCTATACGAATAATGCTTGAAAATCGAAAGATATTAGCGGCAGGAGAAAAAGGACCGGCCTTTGTGAGGCAAACAAATAACCAAAAAAATAAACGAAGCCTTACTCCAATTGCAGATTCTTCTAAGGAATCCTTAGAAATAAATTAACCGATCAAATTGGAAGGAAGAATTGAAAGAAGGAAGAAGACCAAAGAAAGAGAAAGTATTCGATCTCCGAAATCTCACCAGCCACAATTTATAGAGAGAGAGCGTCAGCCTCCCTCCCTCGTAGAAATTTCGCCACTTTTTCTCGAATCTCGATACTCGCCGGTCCGGAAAAACCTAATGAACCGTACCGGTTCGAACCGGTTATTCTGGGATCAAAGAACTGGTGGGCCCGTGTTCCACGGCCTAGTGGGCCTGTTATTTATAAATACTCTTCGAAAAGCCCAGGAGTTGAAAATATAAAGGACCGCTTATATTTTTGTCCTTTTTGTCTTTTTTAATTTTTTTAATGATATATAGATTCTATATACAATCTTTTTTATTTAGATATTTTAAATCAAAAAAAGTAATTTTTTACTTTTATTAATAAATTGGTTATATTTCGATTTATCTAAATTCTAATTGGATGATAATTTAGGAAAATATTTTTTATTTTTTTATTTACTAAATTCTAAGCTAATTTAGGCACATGAGCACAATACAAATTTTGAAATTAAGAAACCGAATTTTTTGTGATCCAATTTGGATTTCGACAGTGGGTCTGAATCTTGAGAAATTTATTGGAATCAAAGTTCTCAACAAATAGTTGTATTTGAATTTTATTAATTAGGCTTTATTTGGAATGATTTTTGTATTATTTCTTAAAATAGATTTTAAGTACAAAAAATTTTATACTAAAAATAATTTTAAAAGTAACAAGAAAGCTGTCACAAATGAAATCTAAAAAATATTGTTTAGAATATTTTTTAAAGAAAGATTGAATATTCTTAAAATAACTATAGGCTACCTTTCAATCGCCACCGCCGGCGCCAATTGTGAACAATTATTACGTCCTCTGATCGGACGTAGAGCTACGTTCGGTCGCCAATAACATGTTGCCACATGCTTTTACTCTCTACCGCGCGGCCCGACGACTTGACCCGGATCGGAACCCGGGAATGCTATGTTCGCGTATTGCGAGATATTACTCGGTATTTGCTCGGTATTGCTCGGTATTGCTAGGTATTGCATGGCAATAACGAGAAATACCGCTCTGTGAAGGCCAATACCTAGAAAAACTCGGTACAACTCGGTATTACTCGGTATTTGCTCGATATTGCTAGGTATTGCATGTCAATAACGAGAAATACCGCTCTGTGAAGGCCAATACGAGAATTACCGCTATGTGAAGGCCAATACCGAGCAAATACCGAGCAAATACCGAGTAATACCGAGTTGTACCGAGTTGTACCAAGGTATTGCTTGGTATTTGCTCGATATTGATTAATGCCAAGCAAAATCGACTAATACCTAGCAATACCGAGTAATACCGAGCAATACCTAGCAAAATCGAGAAAATACCGAGGCATCTTGGGTCCGTTCCGAGTCGGGTTGTCGAAGCGCGCAGTAAATAGTGAGAACGCGTGGCGCGATTCTACTGGCGGCCAAACGTAGAGCTACGTTTTGTGACCGGACCAAATAAAAGTTTGCCAATTGTTGTCGTTGATCGCTATCGTTGCTTACTTGGCAACCAGTACTATCAACTTATTCAATATTCAAATAAAAATGAATTTTTTTTATATCAACTCTATTTTATTTAAAATAAAATTATAATTTAAAAAAATAGATTATTTGTTTGCAAATGAGTTATTTTATTAATTTATTATTTAAGTCAATGAGATAAATTTATACACACATCACATATGTAACATTCGAACTCAAGACCTCTTAGTTAGCAGCCAAAACGCCCAACCAATAAGCCAAGAAAAATTGCATATGATTGAATCATTGAAGTTATAGTCAAAGAGACCAAATGGAATCTACATTTATGGATAGGAAAATGACAAAATATTATGATATATTTCTTCTAAAAAAATAAATTAATAATTTTCTTGTAATTATGAAGGAGATATTTTGTTTGTGATTAAGAAAAAATTTGTTTTTTTAGTGTGTTGAAATGTTTAATCAACATTATCCCCCCTTCTGTTTATTACCATAGCATAGAAACAAAGAAGAAGTCCATAAATTATCTCTTAGGTTTTGTTTAGGACGACTTTCTTGTTGCTTCTTAAAACAGTTTTTTAGCACAAAAATTAATTTTTTTGTACTCAAAAGCTACTTTAAGAAGCAACAAAAAAGTTATCCCAAATAAAACCTAAGAGATAATTTATCCATTATAAAATTAACTTTCATATTGCTTTATAATTTAGCATAATTAAAAAATAATAATAATAGTACTTGAACTCGGCTTTAGAAAGCAGTAAAAAAATATCTCAAATGAAGCCCAAGGTTTTGTTTGGTACAACTTTCATATTGCTTTATAATTTAGCATAATTAAAAAAATAATAATAATAGTACTAGAACTCTGCTTTAGAAAACAATAAAAAAACTATCTCAAATGAAGTCCAAGGTTTTGTTTGATACAGCTTTCATATTGCTTTATAAAGCAGCTTTTTAGCACATTAAAAAAAAAAAAACTAGTTAAGAAAGCATTAAAAAAATCATCTCAAACGAAGCTAAGAAATTGAAAAACAATAGGTGATTTTTTCTATCAATATTTAAGACAATAGTTTTGACTTTTATTTTTATCATTTGCATATTGACTATTTGAAAATACTTAAATGGGAACTTTGTTAAAAAGTTGTTAGTGAAATTTGTTTAAAATGTATTAGTGTTAAATTTAGGCTTCCTTAATCTTTTGATATTGAGTTTTAATTTTATATTGTTTTTTATTACTTGTTGTTTTAGTGTTCAAGCTGACGAGACGAGCTCGATCCAAACAAATAACATTCGAGTCAGGTTTGAACTCAAGTAACGAGCTCAAGTTCGCCGCTAAACTGGATGGCAATTGAAGCTCGATTTGACTCATTTGCACCTCTAGGCGAAGGTGAGATAGATGTGTAGGATTGAAACATTGAAAACATAATTGCAAATAAAATGGTCAAAGAGACCAAATGGAATCTATATTCATAGGTAGGAAAATGACAAATATTTTAAAATTTGATATAAGAAAATGAGTATTATAATTTCTTTCTTCTAAAAAAATGAATTAATAATTTTCTTATAATTATTAAGGAAACATTTTGTTTGTTATATCATCAAACAATAAGGAAAACATGTGATAAACATTAAGATATAAATCATATTCTCAGAACAATTCTAACAAATTTAAAAGATTAATTCAACGTTCTCAAAAAGCAGCTAAATAATCACTTTTTCTCAATATGCAGTTCAAAATCAAGTGTTTCTGCTGCACTACATTAATGAAAGATTCTACAGATAAGTTCACAAATTCTAAAAATAAAATATGGTGATCATCTTACAATGAACTGCCAGGAAATTAATTCATAATTTAGGGGTGTCAATTCGGGTCAACGTGTCGGGTTCGGGTCGAACCAGAAACTGACCCAGCACTGTTCGGATCAACCCGAACCCGACTCATTTTTAAAAACGGGTCAGGTTTCTAGACCCGAACCTGACCCAATTGGGGTCCGGGTCAACCCGACCCGACACTAATGACCCGAAGTTGACCTAAAATTGATAGTTTTCAGATCAAAATCTGATCAATATTCGATTTTCGGGTCAAAATCGGGTCAATCTCGGGTTTCCGAGCCAAATAGGAGTTTCCGGGTCATTTTCGGGTTGCTGGGTCAACCCGAACCCGACCCGATTTTTAAAACAGGTTGATTTGTTGAACTCGAATCCGACCCATTTTGGGTCCAGATTGACCCGAACCCGGATTTTTTCGGGTCGGATTCAGGTCCTGTCAAAAATTGACACCCCTAATTCATATAAGGTTGTAGAGAAAATGAAATCGAATATCTATCTGAGCATATGCATTTTGACCATCAGAGTAATAAGAAGGCAAGATCAAGACTTCCTTTGAAGCGACTTTATAAATATTTTATAAAACAGTTTTTTAGTTAAAAAATTTTATGCTGAAAAATTGCTTTAGATTATAATAAAAAATTATCCCAAATAAAACCCAAGTCTTTGTTTTAAAAAAAAATAATATAACTTTTATTAAAATTATTGTAGAAAGCAGTTTCCTACTTTCCTATCATAATTTTTTCAAGCAACAAAAAAATAATGACCAACTAGAAATTATGGTTGCAATTTAAAAATAAAAAAACAAGTAAAAAAATTATCCAAAACGAGAGAGATTATTACGTGCGGATGTTGAATGCATCTAGAGCCGCCACATCGCGCAATGCACCGTGCATTGGGCGACGTGACATCTCCTAATTGACATCTATACACGTTCAACATCTGCACGTAATAATTTTTCCCCAAACGAAACCTAAATTTTGCAATTTGGATGATCACAATTCACAATAGAAAAGCAAATAAAACTTGGCAAAGAATTGAAGACTTTGTTCAGGTTCCCGCAAAGCCCAAAATATAAACCAGCAATAAGAGATGTTAGTGTAATATTGATTATCTAAAAAAAATAAGAGTAATTAACCTGAAATATAAGGTTTTATTCTGAGCAAAAAAATTTGCTATTCAAAAATTTGCGAAAGTTGTGATATCTAGACCTTTTAATCACCTTCTACTCCTAGAACAAATAAAAAAAATTACTAAATGCAGCAGAATCAATCAATCAAAAAGTAAATTCACTCCAAATTTTGAAACAAAAAAAAAAAAAATGGATAGCTTTAAATTTAGTTACAGTAATTACCATTGAAACTATGTGTCAATCACATCAGTAACTGGAACTTCATCCTCAGTTCCATCAGAGAGATCAGCAGCGCCCTTACTGTCTCCAGACCAATTCCCACCCATAGGATGACTCTTCTCTGTTGCATTAACTACGGGCTGCTGCTTCTCCAACATTCCAGACAGTGCTAGCTTGGGAGACCATTCAAGCATCTCATCAATAATGTTTGAAACTTTTGATTGATACCTGAGAATGAAAAGCTCCTTGTTACAATTATAATACCACCGCAAGGGGGCATTGCCCCCTTCGATCCCCGACATATCTTCGAAGCGTACAACGATCAAAGATATGAACAAATAGGGGTCGAGGGGAAGCATCCACGGAAGAAATTTTGGTTGTAAAGATATTTATGAAAAAAAAAAATCTCTACGCATTTACTTATAAGTTTGCTCCCCCTGAAAATTAAGGCTTCGTTTGGGACGGCTTTCTTATTGCTTCTTACAACACTTTATAGTATAAAAAATTTAATTTGTGTACTAAAAAGCTGTTTTAAGAAGCAGTAAGAAAGCCGTCCTAAACAAAGCCTAAGGCTGGTTCTGCCCCTGATTTGTTTGAAGTATATTCTACTTTGGTCCAAAGTAGAAGATGCTTAAACAAAGCCTAAGGCTGGTTCTGCCCCTGATTTGTTCAAAGTAAATTCTACTTTGGTCCAACGTAGAAGATGCTTCGACATTTTAAGAATTAAAATGTTTTTTTTTTTTTTCGGACAGGGATGGATTGAACATAATAGAAGCCTTAATAGTGATTACTGACCTAGCTCTGGCAGCTTCATCAGGGGCATGGTGCCTGAGTAGTAGAATGACCAGCACAGATAAAAGAGCATAGAAGAGCCTTGATGTCCACTTAGGGGGTTCGCCTTCTGAGTTCTTGGGGCAAAAGCGGATCAGTTCTCTAAAAGTTGTTTCCTCCGCATTGATATTGGGAAAGATCCATATCCGCTTCCCCAGTAAGACGTAAATAACACCAAATATAGCAGCTCTGACTGCAAGATGAAGAGCAAGCCATATAAGATGTGAGAAATAATTAAAATGCTCCAGCAAGGCTGCAGCATAGTCTCCATTAATGTCACTAAGCTAGTTTGTTCATCATCATTAATTATATCCCAATTATTTGGAGTTGGCAATTTGGCATTATTAATACTCATTTTTCATTTGTTCATGTTGAGTGTTGCATAAGATGTTTAAATCTAGTCCTCGCAAATCATTTTGAACAACTGCTATAATATAGCCAGATATTTCGTATCGTTTGTTGTATATCTTTAAAACACCTTAAGTCTATTTTCAATCACCTTATCGTCAATAGCTAGCAGTCCAAGATTTTTTTTTTAATATAATCATTCATTTATTTATCCTTTCTAATTTTGTCATATATTCATCTTAGCGCAGGAAATATTATTTTAGTAAACTACTCTAAATATAGTTAGTGGAGTATATTTATTTTATTGTAACTTGGCTTATTGAACTTGTTCATCTATCATACACAGAAGGTCCATCTATTGAATAATATACACAATATTTTTATCTATAACATCATCAAAACTTGGTTAGTCCTAACTTTAGCAAGCAACCTTCCTCCCTCCTCTCCCTCCTTCCCATCCAGAATCCCAACAGTAATAACGTTATTTTATTTAATCTGATTGCCCTGAATTCTCATTAGTTAATTAATATTGTAAAATTCTAGCATTGTTTCATTTTGTATTTCAATGAATGCTCATATAGAAAATTTTTGAATGATACATGAATACTATGTGGGGTCCGCTACATGAATCGTTTTTTCTCCATTGTGTCATGTTAAAGTTAAATTCTCATTTAAATCTAATAAAGAAATGTCATTTATAATATTTTATAATCAAGACTTTTTAGGTCTACCTCTATCCTTCTTAATATAAGTCAATATCTAATACATCTACTTTCCTAACCTGGTTATTAGAAGACTGCCATTTTATATGACCAAACCATCTAAGGCAAATCTCTATAATCTTATATTCCACTGGAGCTAGTCCAACCTTTTGACATATATGCTCATTTCGTATCATGTCCCTAAAAGTAAAGCCACTCATCCACCTGAGCATCCTCATCTCCGCAACACTTAACTTAATATTATGCTTCTCTTTTAATGGCCAACAATCTGCACCATAAAGCATTGCAAGTCTAACCACCATCTTATAGAATTTTTCCTTAAGTTTGAGGGAAACTTTTCTATCACAAAAATTATTTGGACATTAATTTTACTACAATACAAATCATTCAGAAATTGATGTGATTATTAATAAAAATAGAATGAGCTTCTAGCCAAATTTCTTATTAGACTTCATCCCTGACTTTGATATGTACAATCTCAAATAATGGTTAAATATACCATCCCCCATATTTCAAATGCTATCTCCCTAAATATTTGTATCATTGAGATGTTGACTGTACCTCCACATATATTCAAGCGGTTTGCCCCTGCTATTATAAACTATCATGGTGTATGTGAGTATGTGACCATACGGGCCAAATGGCATTTATCGTGGCTCAAGATAAAGAACTTTTTCCCTTGCTCTCACTAGGCCACACTAATAATTCCTCATAACATTGTTGGGCCAAATTGGGTATCACTCCACTGCTTAGAATGCCTCTCACCCCTATATGACATGTGTTATGTATAGATATGCATAACATTGATGATTATATTCAAAATGAGTTTTAAATAGAATTAATTAATGTTTTGAAATGAGCATGCATATTATTCCAAGGACCTTGCAATACTGTAATTTAAAAGCATGACATACTCTTTGAGTTGTGACTCACTTTATATTTGCAAAACATTCGCAAATATTATTTAAATAATTTAAATGAGTGAAAGAGGTCGTGTCACACTCCATAATTATCGAAATAGTTTATATATATATATATATATTCTGATGTTTAGTGGCTCTTTTAGTGTATTAGAAATAGTTAGTAAATACAATTTTAAATAACAGTCCGACCGTATGTTCCCACCTCGTTAATTTGAGCATCCGGGCAGGGTCGAGACAACATCTTTACCCTACATTTAGCGTGTTTGTTTATGTCTCCATCAATGTCTAAGTCATTCATGTAGCATATGGAGTTTAATTGCCATTTAATCAAATTGTTTCAGGGATTCCATAAGATACAATGGATAAAGCATTATAGCGAGTCAGGTAACTGCAACTATCAGTTATATCTTTATCTGACCATTCTAATTTCAGGATACCAGAACTAACGGTGTCAAAATATTCCATAAATGCCAATCATCATTGTTGAATGTCCTTTTATCTGAGCTAATATAACCTGAACATGCATCACTATTAGTATCCCTTCATGGTACTCGTAAATAACAGAATTCTTTTTCCCTTTGCAGCCTGTCCCTAGGCTGATTGAGAGTTTTGGTCTGATTTAAGAAGCAAATTTTCTCTATACAGGCATAAACAAGAAGTTCATGGAAAGCTTTTGAAAGTAACAGAGAAATTTGGAGGAAATATGTTAACAAAGGAATAAAAAACGGCTAGACAAATTCAACAAGTGGTTAGGTTGCAAGAATTTTCATCACATAAATAAAAAAGGAATACTAGAAACACGATAGCTATTTAAGAATCATCATTTGGAACAGAACAAGGATTAGTGAGCTATAGATAATTAATACACTTGCTTTTTGCATGTTGTGAATGTTTCATTATACAAAAATATAACGTTTTTCATTTAGTTATTTCGATTATAAAGGAGTTCTTTATCTTATTCTACTTTATCTCAAATCTTAAAGGATGTGAAAAATATTGTGAGAACAAAAAAACTGAGGTTTCAAAAACATACTTGAGAGCATGGCTACGATAAATAGTAGAGCTCCAGCACATGAGTACAGGACAACGATCTTGACTTGGTATGGGTAGACAGGAAACAAACACATTGCTAGAGCTACTAACGGCCAAAGGAATGACAGAATTGTTTGCCATAGAGCCCTTCTTTTCATAAATGTCCATGCAAAAAAAGCATCTTCTTTTGAAAAAACTTGATCCTGCACAAGGAAAAGAAAATAATATTAGGTTTGGATAAACTCTAGTATACTTGAATATAAAAACAACTATTGGTTCCACTGAGAACGCAAGTTATGCCTAGTAAGACTAAGCCTAAAGAGTTAGCAACATCATTTGCATATTGTATACATGATTTACATGAACATATTAATTAAAGAAATTATAAGCCAACTACTGATATGAACATGAGGTATATGGAGTTGAAACCAGATGATAAGGTAATGATAAATCTAAATCATAACAAAGTTTCTAGCAAAAATTATGAAATTAAAAGCTAGAAGGGCAGGTCATATAAAATCATGCAGCACATTAAGATAAATGCTTATAAATAGAAAATTCCTATGGTGGTATTTGTTCAATCGTAAATGTATTTGATGGGACCTTATTTTATGAATCATATAATGGTACATCAGAATCATGAATTTTTTTTTTACCAAACCTAAGACACTAAATATTAGAAAGGCGGGGTCATATAAAATCATGCAATGCATTAAGATATGTTTATAAACTGTAAATTTTAATGTTGCTATTAGTTCAATTTAAATGTGTTTGATTTAATCTAATTTTATGAACCACGTATCAATGTCTTAGATTCTTCTTTACATCAGTTTGTGAATTCACAATCAGCCCTTCATTAGACAATTCTAGACATTATGCTCAAGAAGCAATCTAAAATGGTGAGATTCAACTACAGGTGAAAATTAGAGGTAGCTTGTGTGTTGATGTAATATATCTACTTATGATTATTAATGGATTACTTTATAGGAAGCACAATATTTATGCCATGATTTACTTGACCAATATCAAATGATCGAGTCATCATAGCCAAAATTTTAAGCCAGACAAAGTTGATATAATCTCACAATTTTGCACTCATTAGAAACATAGAAAATGAACGCTGTCATGAGAAATTCATATAAGTTTTGATGTTGCTTTATTTATATTTATTTCATAATTTTTAATTTACACTAGATTATTTTTTTGTTTAATTATACTTCGGATGATGATCCTTATAGACAACCGGTTGTGTCTCTAAATGTCTATGATATAGCATTACCAAATCAAGTTGCACAAAGACCTATCACTTGATCCTTGAGTAGAAAGCCATGACATATTATTTTGTATTTTCTTAACTTTTTTTTAGTTATGTTATTTCCCTTTTTTTTAATAAATTTAGCTTATTACTATATATTTTGAGAGAGAGATTAGGCCATTTTTCACCACCGTCACATGAAAATGCATTACATGCCATGCAATCTATGCTTGGGCCAACCAAACCAAAGGCATTTTGATCATTTGGAGCTTGCTTTGGACAGCCATCTTAGATGCTTTGAAGGTTTTTGATCGCTTGAAACCACTTGAAAGCACACTTTATTCATGCACTATTTGATGGAGTCGTAGGTCATGGAATGGAAAGAGGAGGCAAGTGTCTAGGAACAAACATAATTGGGGATAGCCTAACATGGATTCAAGCACACATGTGAAGAAAGATTTTATGAAACTGTTTCAAATTCTTTGTTTCATGAGTGTTGGCATAGAGAGCAGCCCCATTTCATTTTATATCCTTTGTTTTCCAAAATATGACTTTTTTGTATTCAAGTTACTTTTGAGCTTCACCTTTCATTAATATATTGGAAGTTCTTGAATTTAGCATCGTAATCATCATCTTTAAATAGAATTTGAAATTATTCTCTCTTTCCAAATTAGCTTGGTGCCTAGTTCATTTGTCACTTTCTTTAATGAGGTTGAGTGAGATCCATCATTAGTTAAGTGATAGTTATTTTTTACTTTCTTATTACCTTGCACAAACCACCATTATATCTACAACCCATTAGTTTCACTCCATCAGTTTATGTTTGTCCGATTCATTTCATTGTTGGTTCTTTGTTTAAATTACATATAGCCAATAGTTCTTTATTTCGATCAGTTAATTCGTTACTGCATGGAGCTGTAACTGGCGCTATTGCTCTCTCTAGATAGTATGAATTTACTGCACATGGAGTCACTGCCTTGGGATTTGCTATAGATCATATCTCCCCAGAAGCATTGAGTACCTAATTATCAAAACTTGTGATTACTGAACAATTGTTGTAATCGTTGTTTCCATATTGTAAGAGTGTAGAACCACTGATTTGATAATTTTCAGTTTTGATATTAAGCTTAAGAGTTTCTGAGGCTGCCGAATTTATGATATATTTGTGATTATAAATGGAGATGCTAAAGAATGTAAAATACAACAATTATTTAATAAAATTTCATTTTTGCTCTCAAACCTGTGTGCTGGTTGGATTGAAAACTTTAAAGGGAAACCTTTTCCTTGTACATGGATCTCTTATTTGGTGATTGTTTTTCTTTGTTACCCTTTTCATCCATATATTTTGTGATTCGTTTGCATGTGTTTTTGGATTTGTTTAAAGCTTATTCACCTTAACTTGAGTTCTGATTATAGTGTGATTTACAATCGTCTTGTGGCTTTCATCGACCATAACTTTTGTTTTGCTTTTTTTGAGATAATTAAATTATCATCGGATCAATTTTATATATTTTATGGTTTTCATCTAAGTGATGAGTTCTTGTCAAAATTAAAATTTGTACATTGTGAATTTCACTTTTTTTGTCAATGATTTAGTGCATTTTATTATAATTTTCATTTGAAAATGATAGACCCTAAGACATCATGCATTAGATTTGGTATCAACACAAAGTTATATCAAAAACATCAACAAGAAGTGGGGCATTACATTAGGTTCAATAAACAAAACATAAAAGGAAAGGGGATTTTTAACAACTTTGCAAAGCCAATTGGTTGAATTACTCAACAAACAATAAGTGAGAATATTACTCAATTCAAGGAGTGAAGTAATGCTATCGAAAAAATAATTTAACCCACATGAATTGGAAGTTGTCTAATTGTAATGTTGAACTTGCTCGTTTGAATATCAACATTACTAGGAGACAAGAAATTAACCATGGGAGAACTACTCAAGATAGGTAGCATAAGGTGTAAGATAATGAAATTTATAGGATTCATAAATGCCAATGTATGACAAAAGATAGCATAACTGGAAAAGCTATAAATGAGGAATATGCATTTGATGGGAAAATAGATCTTATGATTTTTACTAATACGTAATAAATATTCTTCATAAGGTTTTCCTTCATTAATTCAAGTATTATAAGGAATATTGATCAGAATATAAGACAAATTATTTAGGACACAGAAATGTTACAATATTGAAATGCTTATACAAGTGCATGAAACTCGATAACATAATTTTAATATTTTTGTTTTAAAAGTAAGTAATTAGATGTCCCTCTTAACTTAAAACTCCCCCATTATCTACACCTGACTCATTAGAAGAGACCTCAAACACTTTATTACAATCAAACAATTTAATCAAAGGTGGATTTGTAAATCTCTCTTTAATATTAGTAAAGCATAATCAACAGATTTTGTGTCAGGTGTGCTCTTCTCTAGTTTTATTATAGATTAGAATATCATCAAAGTATTGAACCAAAAAAATATTTAATGAAAAGTTGAAGGGCATAATTCGTGATTCTCATACAACTCAAAAGCATCACCATCCACTAATACAAAACTTTTACCTCAGGAGTTTTTTCCATTTAAACTCCCTTCTTAAGAAAATTTGTAATTGATGTCATTATAACACTATAACGCTTCATGAATAATCTATTAAAATAATCAGACCAAGCAAACTCTTGATATCATATATATGATTATATATTATCCAATTACCAATCATTTTTATTTTTGTTAACATCAATAGATAATTCATCACTCGACACAGTAAATCCCAAGAATATTATAATTCTATAACAAAAGATCAAATTTTTTATTCATATATGTTAATTTACGATTTTTCAAAGACTTCTCCAAAATGCATAGAGTGCTCCTCTCTAGTTTTATTATAGATTAGAATATCATCAAAGTATTGAACCAAAAAAATATTTAATGAAAAGTTGAAGGGCATAATTCATGATTCTCTTACAACTCAAAAGTATCACCATCCACTAATACAAAACTTTTATCTCAGGAGTAATTTTTCATTAATTTTTCTCTCACATTCTTACGTGATGTTAAGCACTTCTCATATTAATTTTTGAAAATATAATAGCTCCTATTATCATATCAAATATATCACCCAATCTAGGTTTATAGAATCAATATTTGATGGTGATTTTATTATTACTTTACTATCTATATACATCATCGAACTATCATCTTTCTCAAGTATAAGTCATATACTAACCACTTAAGGACTCATATTCAACTTAATAAATCCTCTCTCAACCAATTCATCTATCTCTTAAGCTCAATAAATTCAATTGGATTGATCCTAAAACGTGGAAAACGACGTAATGGTGATCTAAGAATCAAATCAATGGCATGTTGTATCTCCAAATAGTGATAATACATCATGAAGGTCATTAGGATATATATTTTTAAAATCAAATTACACTTAACTAATACCCTCAAGTATAGACACTCTTAAGCACAACCCCTCCTGCATGAGGCTCCTTTTCAAAGTATATTGATTAAAAATAGGTTTTTTTTTTGGTTAGGTGAGAGTAATATATTCCTATTTATTTAACAAAAAAACTACTCATAGGTTTGGCAGATTTTAAAATTACTCTCCTCAAATTGCTCTTAAAAATATAAGCATTAGACCTCCCAAAGCAAGTTACATCTAAAACCATACAATCATAATCTACCCAAAATAGCATGAGCAACATCCACGAACAAAAAAGTCATACCCAATTTATAACTATATGTAGCAAATTAAACGGATGTCAACTATTTTTTGCACAACATATATTTATAGTTTTTAGCTGCTTAAGCAATTTGGATGGTTCTAAGCGTGATTCAACTTTCAAGTTCATATGATCAGTAATAAATTTAGCAATAATATTCATGCAAGTCTCATTATCAATAATGAGTTCACAAATTTTGCTAGGGGTGTAAATTTTTGACACGACCCGAAACACGACCCGAACCCGACCCGGAAAAATCCGGGTTCGAGTCAACCCGAACCCGAAACGGGTCGGGTTCGGGTTGAACAAATCAACCCGTTTTAAAAATCAGAACGGGTTCAGGTTGACCCAGCAACCCGAAATTGACCCGAAAGTGACACGAAAACTCATATTTGACCTAAAAACCCGAGATTGACCAGTTTTTTACCCGATTTTGACCCAAAAATCGAATATTGATCCATTTTTTTACCAGAAAATTAGCAATTTTAGGTCAACTTCGGGTCATTCGTGTCGGGTCGGGTTGACCCAAACCCGAATCAGGTCAGGTTCGGGTACGGAAACCTAACCCGTTTTTAAAAATGGGTCGAGTTCGGGTTGACCCGAACAGTGCTGGGTCAATTCCGGGTTCGACCCGAACCCGACCTGCTGACCCGAATTGACAACCCTAAATTTTGCTATAAGGCTTAAAATATGTTTGAAAAATAAAAGCACTAGTTTGTCCTCAGATGTGGCAATCATACATCGCCTAAGGTTCAAAGAATATTCAATCAAAATAATTTTAGAATCACTAATGTCCTCATCAATCTCCAAAATGTCATCCCCTCATTATTGATTATGCTCATCATCCTCATCCTCTACATAAATAAGCAAATTTCTAATAGGTTCTTCATTTGAAAAAAATAAACCATTTGATGACATTTAAAATAAGCTTTATCAAGAAGTTCAGAGTAAGATGTAGTAATACCATATTGTTACTTAATGTCTTTATTAACAATAGATCTACTTCATTTGGATGTGGTGGATGCAACAAACTGAATTTGATTGTTTTGATCAAAAAAAGCATTTTTGTTTATGTAGCCATCCTTTTAATCCCATAAAATTCTAATATTTGATCAAAATATAATGCAAGTTAAAAAGCACAATCAAGTGAAGGAATATGAAGTGGTCATCTCTCTTCTGAAATCTAGTCTTAATCTAGATCTAAACATAAAAATTAGTTTAAGATCTTCCATTATTTAAGAATTAGATTCACTTTTTCATAACGTAATATTAATTCCTCAATTTATTCAGTAATAGTTCTGTTTTGTATTTTAATGAGTTAAATTCATAAATCAATCAATTGTAATATAATGAAGGCGTATATTTCTCTTTGAACAATTCTTCAATTTCTACCCAAGTAGTTCTAATTTCTCAACTTAATCTTTACCTTTGTTTTTATGCACATCCAATACATTTTAGCTTGCAAATCTTACATGATGCTCATCTAACATTGTCTGCAATACAAAGAATATTCTATATCCATTACCTAATAAGAAAAAACTTTCAAATATATATTCTCCCATCGATTGTGGATGCCACAATTTTAACATTCCTAGTTATGTCACTGTCTACATCATAAAATTAACATATATGATTGTCCTAAGGCCTCGTTTGAGACGGCTTAATTTTGTCTTTTATGTTTCGAAACGGCAAAGCTATTTTTGGATAGTTGATTGTATGTGACACTTTTGTAAAACTGTTTTTTTTACGGAACATCATTTTTATACTGTTTTCAAAAGCTTTTTAATATTGGCTTCTTTGTTAAAAACCTTCATTCTCTCAAACAAAATTTTTAAAACTGCTTTTTACAAAAAGGTATCGGGTAACCAAACGAAGCCTAAGTTTCAATATCATACCCCCAATTATCCTCACCTTGATCATTTCTCCCATGATAAATTTCTTGTCTCATAGTATTGTTAATAATCAAATGAACATATTCATGATAAAAATAAGATTCAATTACTGGTTCATAACGGTGGACTTTATTCATTTCTGAAATGGTAATTCATCTTAATCTAATTTATATTCTCACTCATTTGATTTTGCTGGTTGAGCAACATAACTAATTAATTTTGCAAATTCTCAAAATCATATTCCTTTGATGACCTATTAACTGACTCTGATATTGAGCTCCACTTCTAGTTGACATTGTAACACTATGTGATTCTAATACTACACATGATGCAATGTATAAAATACATCTCAAGAGGCATGGTTTTTTAATGTAAGTCTATGATGACATGTATAAAATTACTCACCAAAGGTTAAATTCATAATCCACAAACTTTTACTTCACAAAAAATAATTTTTTAAGGAACTGTTTGGTTGCCTGAAAAAAAGAATGTAGTGTAAATGAAATGCGGTGTAAAAGGAATAATTTGGAGTTGTTTGGATGAGCGAAAAGAAATGCAGGAATTTACATTTTTTATTTGATTTGAAGTAAAATGAATGCTATATAAATTGTAAGAAGGTTGTGACCGGGGTGGGCAGCGACGGTGGCAACGGCGAGCAAGGTGATTGGCATCAGGCTGCGGAGCGGCGGTAGGCGGCATGCACCGGCGGGATGGCTGTGGTCGGCTGCAACGGAGATGGTGGCAAGGATGTGGCGGTCGGCAATCGCGGGGGAGCGACGATTGGCGGCAAGATGGCGGGCAACGACGGTTAGCAACAATGTGGCAGGCAGTTGGGGTCAGGCGACTGACAGTCGTCGGTCGGCAGGTGGTGATGGTCGACAGCGAGGCCGAGGCGATTGGCAGTGAGGCCGATGCGGTCAGCAGCAGGCGAAGGCTGGGACCATTAACGAGGGGCAGCGATGGACGGTGGCGGCAAGTGGCGAGCAACTAGTGGCGGCAGTGGTCACCGTGGTTGGTCAGGAAGTACTTGAGAGGTATAAAACATTCTCGCATAAATTGGGTGAGAATGCTTTACCTCAAAAATGAACTAAAATGGAATATATTGCATTTACTTTAATCTTAGATTTACTTTTTATCCAACCAAACACCAAAAAATAAAAAAGTAATGCATTTACTTTACTTTGCATTCATTTTTCTTCCAACCAAATAGCCCTTAAGAGAAAAAGGAAAGACATAGAACTTGCACGATAGTTAAATATTACCAAAATAAATATTTGGCAAAGAAAGTTATGCACAATAAATGTGACATAAGAATAATAAATCACACCACAAGCAAAAATCCAAAATGTGTGAGCTTTGCCCAAACTCAATCACGCACAATCAATCACAAAACATGTAGATGAAAAGGATAATAACAAAAGATTCACCAAAAAAGTTTCCCTTGGTAGTTATCAATCATCAGCATTTGCATACTTAAATAACTTGCATCCAAGCAGCATATAATTTTGAGAGGAAAATAGAAAAGCTTGAAAATGGCTTGAACTAATTAGTAAAAAACTTGATAAACCATATTTTCACACGATAGAATAAAAAAATAAAAGCACATATCTCAAAGCATTAAAAAGATCTTACATTATGTATTTCCAGATGTGCTGGCCACGATGACAACTTCTTCTTCCCAGGCCTCACAGTTTTCAGCACACGATCACATCTAACTATAAGGTTCTTTCTAAGTAAAGTATCGATGATTTCCTCAGCATCTAATTCCTTATCTAACCCTAATATCTCCTTAACCTCCTGGTGATCTCTCAAGAACACCGGGAATTCCTTTCCTCTAAAATACTCAACCCTTGTCTCTTGCATTATAGCCCATCTAGATTTTAGTTGCTTGTTGTCTCTAACCTTCTCAGCAAAAATCTGGTATACATCCTTCTTTTCGGCTGATTGCTGCAAATATAAGTACAGAAAAGTGAGAAACAAAATGAATTTGAAAAAGATAAAAGTAAGGATTAACAACATACTTGGAGAGTTGGAGAGGACTATGTTTACCCCAGCTTACCACTTTTACTCCAAAATGGGCTCTCCAAATGATTTCAAAAAAAATTATTACAATCAAAATGAAAGAGATAATTATGTAATAAATGGTTAATAAAATAGTTCTCCAGCAGAAAAAGAAATCACATCACAAATCAAATAGTTCCTTTGCAGCAGCAACGTTATAGGATGCCTAATAACCAGACATATATAAAATAAAAATTTATCATATTGTTTCTCGCTATGCAATTTCCTAGCTGTTACGCAATCATGAATACCGCCTATATGATGATATCCATAGAGAATTCCTCATAATTCTTCCACAGGACTACCTTTTAGGTGCTAATTTCATTGATCCTCTCTGAATACTGTCCATGACTTAAATATCAACTAAAATCAATGAAACTTTGTCCACCATTTGGACAAATTTATGATTAGAAAAAGTCAAAAATAATCCCCACTTAATTGAATGTAACCGATTTAGTCCTAGAATATCACGCTTCACTAATTTAGTTTATCAACCATGCAAAATTGATCCCAAGAATTAATGAAAATTGGGATGTAAACTTAGAATCAATTTAGTCCCTCAACTACATAAAATTCATCCCACTTTAACACTTAAGACACTATTTGAAATTAATTTTGTATAGTCGGCTAGCTAAATTGGAGAAATGGACTACTATTGTCGCTAAACTTATCACATACAAATAATCGGAAGACTATTTTTAACTTTTTCCCAATTTCTGACTTCTTGAATCAAGGAGCCTTCATATTTAAAAGGATACCAAAAGTTATTATTTACTTGCAAACTTGCGAAGCTTTGTGATTGTTGCGTCCTGGAGTATTCACGGCGGTAAAGAAATATAAAGTTTTACGTCTTAGCATTGTACGAAAATCAGGCACGCAATCAGATAAGAGAGAGGGTGTGTAACATTTATAAGACACCAAGATTTTTATGTGGAAAACCCCTGAAAAGGGGGGGAAAACCACGGGGCCTAGCCCAGTATGAATGAATCCACTAGTATTTATAGTTAATTACAAATGAGGTCCTTCCTCAGGGGAAGGCCTTAGCTTGATGTACATCTTATAGAGTACATTACATGGTGAGAATACAAAGCATCATTGTTTATGTGTTTGTTTGGTCTGAAGGACTATAGTTGGTGTGCGACGTAAATCGGAGGGATCGTAGTCAGCGGGCAATGGAGGTTGGAAAGATCGTAGTCGGCGGGCAACGCAAGTCTGAAGGACTGTAGTCGACATGCGATGGAAGTCGGAAGAATTGTGGTCGGCGGACGACGTAAGTCTGAAGGACCGTAGTCGGTGGGCGACGGAGGTCGAAAGGACTGTAGTCAGTGGGTGACGAAAGTCTAAAGGACCATAGTCGGCGGGCAACAGAGGTCGAAAGACTGTAGCCGGTGGGCAATGTAAGTCTAAAGGACCGTAGTCGGCGAGCGACAGAGGTCGGAAGAACCGTTGTCTGACGACAGAGGTCAGAAATACGGCATCTAGTAGAAGACCATCAATGACAAAAATCCAACATCAGGTAGATGTCTGGTGAAAGTCCGACAATTGGCAGAAGTCCAGCGTCAGGTAGAAATTTGGAGACAAGCGGAGGTCCGGCGTCGGGTAAAAGTCTGACGCCGGTTGGAGGCCGAGGAGAATTCTTACTTTAGATGGTATTCAGGCAAAACTCCGACGTCACTTGGAGGTCGGACGGAATTCCGGCGTCACTTGGAGCTCACTTGGAGGTCGGACAGAAATCCAACATCAGGTAGATGACTAGATGTTTGGTGAAAGTCCGACAATTGGCAGAAGTCCAGCGTCAGGTAGAAATTTGAAGACGAGCGGAGGTCCGACGTCGGGTAGAAGTCTGACACCAGTTGGAGGCCGAGGAGAATTCTGATGTTAAATGGTATGCAGACAGAACTCCGACGTCACTTGGAGGTCGGGCGGAATTCCGGCGTCACTTGGACAGAATTCCAGCGGCGGTGGTCGAGGAGTTCTTCCTTCCTATCCTTCTTCTCTTTCTTCCGCCCCCACCCCCCCCCCCCCCCATAAGAGAAATGAGGGGTCTATTTATAGATTTCTGGAGTGGCATGACCTGTAAATAAGTGAGAGATCAGGGGTGAATCGAGAGTGGTTTGAATGGACAACCGATATTGAATCCCTTGATCGTGGACCATTCATTAGACATTTGAAGGTCTTAATGATATCAGAATTCGGCGATCTTAGGCTCGTTGGATTCGTCTCCTCGAGCCACTTGATTCGACTATAAGCACGTCATGTTTAGAAACCGTTTGATAACTCAATTTGTGGTTTGAACCTTCCAACAGCACTTCGGGTCCTTGATTTGGACTCATGTGGGCTCATATTGAGTCGATTTTGGTGTCGTTGGGTTCGTATTTTCGAGACGATCAGTTCAACAGTAAGTTTGCTGAAATTTCTATGATGACGTCTCAGTGATCATGCAATCGCTTAACAAATTTGATAAAATCCACTATAAAATGTCTTCATATTATCAACATGAAATAATATTAATAATTATTGCATGTTATAATACTCATGGTGGTAGAAGAGGACTTTGTCATCTCAGCATTATACGAAAATCATGCACATAGAGAAGCCACATGGAAATAATTACAAGCCTAGCCCATTGAAATAATTACACCATATATATTAAATATTACAAAGATTTATTTTTCTTCAAAGTTAGGAAATATGGGTTTCCAAGGTTTAAACTGCAAGGGGTGTCTCTTATACGGACAATAAAGTACATTGGAAGGTGGTGGAGTTAAATATTTAGATACTAAAAGATGATTGTATAAATAATTTAGACATAAGAATGGATTGTATCCCACATTAGCAATAAGTAGAAAGGACAAAGAAAGATACCTTCAAGGAATTCCTACCTAATAGCTCAAGGTAAACTACCGCATATTAGTTGGCTTCTAAAGAGATTCTCTAAAAATATTTATCAAGGAATTCCTATTCATTATGGCGAATCCAAAAATGTAGAGCAAAATTTGATAGTTCTTTGATTTATGGGAAACTATTCAACAAAATGCCTAGCAAGTTTAGCGAACATATGAAAGATCCAAGGAGGTGAGAGAAAAACCAGTAGCGACACCATTGGATATGGATAAAGGTTCAATAATGATCCACATTCTCCTAAGGGTTAGAGGAATCAGTGTACGGTTCTATAATGGGCAACTTGGGCACTGCTAGAATGGGATGTCGTAGAATGGCATTATTGAGGGGAGAGGGAAGCTTCATGGAGAGGCAGACTAGAATATGTACCTTATGGGAAACTTTTCCTACACCAGACATTGGAGTTCATAACAAAGTGTGCCACAAGGGGGGCCATCCATACAAGGTGGGGATAAATTCATGATGGCAATCAATAGATTGCGGGTCTATGGGGCTAGCTAAGTGGAGTTGGCTATGTTGTGGAGTTCATCATAGATTAATGGGGAGAATTCTAGCATGGTAATGAGATGGTAGTATATTGGTGTCCTTAATCTACCACCAGCCATGATATGCAGTTAATTCTAAGAAGAATGATCTCATTTTAAGATTCATTTATCCTATTAATGTAGTCATACAAGGATAGGCCGGAGGGGCCTTCACTAGTAGAGTTACCCATATCAAGAAAGAGATGACTATAGATCTAGGGTCCACAGTCTAAGTACTAGTTCTATGAGTGAAGAGGGTTGGGCAGGGGACTTCCTTGTTGTGAGCATTAAGCTTATTTATCATTAGAGGTGTTGTTGATAATCAAAGAAGATGGATGCAATCTCTCACATCATAGATATAAACAGAGAAAGAGAAGTAGAATCAAACTTTTATTCTCAACAGTTAGTTCTCATCTTCACAGCAAGTGATTGTACTCTTTCTAAATCATTAATATAAATAAAGTGATACATTTGTCCTTATTTTTATGAATTGTAATCACTTCATATACCTCTTTTAATATTTCGTGAAATATTTGATCATTATGTGATTATGAACGTAGGTGGGTCTCACTAAATTATGTAAACTTATTTCTTATGTTTGAGATCTTTAGGGTTTTTACTATCTCATCTTCAAGTGATCTTTCTCAAAGATTTATTACTATCATAACATAAATGTAAACAGCTCACCTCTATTTAAACTCAGTAATAAATTGGTGTTATAACTAGGTTCGATAATTTTTAAAATATTTCCTTTAATTTTTTAACCAAAATGCCCCTTGATTTCCGCACCACTTCGGCCGATCCTTCCCATATCCCATCCTCAATTTTCTCACTTGGTAAAAACTAGTATGCATCACTGTTTGTTAAAAATAAGTAAGAAATGGATGAAAAAATCAAAAGAAATTTACCAAAAAAGGACCAAAATGAACATTTTTCAACAATATTTTAATTCCTCTAAACCACTTCAAAAACGAGGGTTTATTTCAACTACCTCTTGAATCTAAATTCAAAAGACATTCAAACTCCTAAATATATTCATTAACTAATTCAAAATAGTCTCATCTCCCTAACAATTGGCATCCAATTTCTTTCTCATCAATTTATCAAATCATCCCTAAAAAAACATAAAATAACACATACTCAAACCCGCACTCACTCTTCCTAATTACCTCTTTTACCTCTCTACTCAATTAACATCTCTATCTACAAAAGAATTGACAAAATAATAGGTTATCTCTATTACCAACCCTAAACCCACTTTCTCTCTCCAAAATGGAGAAGACTCACAAACCCACACATTTTTATATATTTTTACAAACCTCCATTCTCTCTCTATGGATTTTCGACTCCCTTAAAATCCTAATTATAAAAAAACTATATGAAAGAAGCTCCACTTCTAAATCATCAATGGCATCATATTATCAAAGACAAAGAATATCAAAGATATTTACCCTAAAGAAGTTTGTGCTCACAGACGTCAATCCAATCCTTATGTGCACACTAAATTTGTTAGACATAAATTTATATATCATTCCACAATGGCACAATGCGCGTTAACTCTAATATATTTTGTGTGCAATCCTAATTATGATGATTATATTGTTTACTCTATTCAAAATCACTTCTCAAATCTCCTCACTCAAATACATATGATGATGCTTATGATTCCCAGTATCATATTAGGTCTAATAGACATATCATCATGATGCCAAATATGATTATCTTGATTGTTATCATTCTTAATCACATAAAACATCTTGTTATGATCATGCTCTATGATGATCCATCTCATCCTCATCGCCTTAAAAATTTTCATAACCTACAACCTCCTCTAATTCATTAGCATGTGCCAAAACTTCTTTCTATGACCACAGTCTTTATGAAGATTTTTATGATGACAAAGATGTATTGATATTGAATTGGAATTTGAGGTGAGCTATTTACTGAGGTTGAATCTGAGATATCACCATGTATATCTTATTTTCTTTGTTTTTTTTCTTATCAAATATTTTTAAATTGTATCCAAACGGTGACAACATCTCCGATCCAAACATACCCAGCATGCCAACAGAGCACGGCAAAGCAACCAAATACAAAGAAACAATACTCCATGTGGTGGATAGTTATCAAGCACATCATGAAGCATCACGATACACAATAAAATGTTCGGGAAAAATTAGCTTAATGCGCCCCAGCCTGAAGGATTTCGTTTCCAAGGAAAACCCAATCAAGAATTAACCTCAAACCAGAGGCCCACTTCCACCTAACGTTATACCCTTCCAAAGAGAGGATACAACCCTTCTTTGAAATTAATGAATGCGAGAAGCTGTCGACGGATAATCAGAAAGTATCCAATCGACATATTTTGCTATCTAATACCAAAAACACCCCACAACAATAAAAAAAATTTAACAATCAAAATAGGTAATCACTAATACCAAACCAAAACAATCTCAAAACCGTAAAAGAAGGATGAATACGACCCGATCCCATTCAATCTCCCTTAACCAGCCAACCTCATAGATCGAAGTCCCGCCTTGCGCCAACAGAGGAATAAATTAGTAATAATACATTGAAATTCCAAACTTCTATTGGAAGACGGATGAAGCGATAAGAGGGGAATAAAAACCTTAGAGGCGCTATCCGCGAGATCTCTAACGGCGTTTGAAGGCGCCCGCCGAACCCTCCTCTTCTCCGTCACCGGCTTCGTCATCTCGCCGATGGGTCTTCTGGCCGCGTCGCGCTCTGAATCGAGGCCGTATAAGGGCGGTGGCGGGCCTCGAGCCGGGTATGTACACGTCGCCGTGAGAAATGGATGCTTTTATCTATTACATGTATGTAAATCTCTCTTATTAGTTTACTACTACTGAAATAATAATAATAATAATAATAATAATAATTTGATGTAATATATTAATTTTTTAGATTTACAGGTATATTACAAAAATTTTAATATATTTTTATCTAACATTTAAAATTTAAAATTTATATATTTATATATATATTATTTTAAATAAATTAAATCAAAACATGAATCTTAATGTTGTTCAGAAATTACATCCATCTTATATAAAAATTATATTAAATAAATTAAAAATCTTTTATATGTCATCAAATATCATAACAATGGGAGAAACTATAGCAAAGGAGGGCCAAAAAATATTTAAGAAAAAATAAAAATATATCTCTTGGTAGTTAGGGCATCTTCAACCGAACTCAATACATGTATTTGCAGTTTGCCATCTGATCCACCCGAACGATATTATGGGCTGCAATTTCGTGATCGTAAACAGTGCGACACCAACAACTCCATTTTTTTTAAAAAAGAGAGTTTCTGGTTGGACATGAGAAAAAATATACACAGAGTATTCCTTTTTATATTAGAAATGAAGTTCGGTTTCAGATGAATTATTGTTTGATATGACTCTTTCTATATTTCGATGTTAGAAATAGAATTTTCAGTTAAAATTGCCCTAATAAACATAGGAACATATTATCAAACCACATAAATCTCTCTTATTCCTTTGATGTTTTCTCCTATATTATATTCTTTCATTATCATTTTCATCATTATTTTTTTCACCCACGCTTTCCCCCGATGTAAAAACTAAGGCTTCGTTTGGGATTGCTTTCCTCTTGCTTTCTAAAACAGCTTTCTAGTATAAATATTTATTGAATTCAAATTTTTTGTACTAGAAAACCGTTTTAAAAAGCAGTACAAAATTTGTTTCAAACAAAACCTAAGATCCAAGCAATTCTATAAAAGAATTATATATTTCAAACACAAATAAAAATTTACTCAGCAAAATGTACCCACTAGAGAAATCATACAGGCCTGAAAATAACTATTTTATCACTAATAGTATTGTCTTTAAGATCACATTATTCAGAATGTGGAACTTTTATTTGGTCTGGTCATCTGACGTAGCTCTACGTTCGGACGCCAGTAAAATAGTGTCACGTGTTCTCACTATTTACCGCGTGGCCCGACAACCCCGACCCGAAACGGAGACGGAATTGCTATGTTGGCGTGTTGCTAGATATTGCTCAGTATTAGTCGATTTTGCTCGGCAATAACGAGAAATATCATTATGTGAAGATCAATACCGAGTTTTTCTCGGTATTGCTTGGTATTTCTCGATATTGCTCGGTATTGGTCTTCACAGAGCAATATTTTTCATTATTGCCAAGCAATACCGAACAATACCTAGAGCAATACCGAGCAATACACGAACATAGCAATCCCGGGTCAAGTCGTCGGGCCGCGCGGTATTGAATAAGACAACGTGACGACATGTTATTGGCGTCCGAACGTAGAGCTACATCAAGTCATCTGACCTAATAATTGTTCCAGAATGTGAGAGCAATTTAATTACAGATATACAGACTGATCATGTTTATTATTCAACTAACATAGACTAATACACCAGAACTGTAAAACTGGTAGAATATCTCGACTATGGCTTGAAGAAAGAGCGCTTTGAAGGATCCCTGCCAAAAACCTTCATCACCCTCGCAATATCCATCACCTTTCCAAGCTTCTCTTCCCTCTTCGCTTCTGCTTCTGCTTTCCTCTCATCTGCTTTCTGCCGCGCAACAGCTACCTCGTTCTGCATTTTCTCTAATGCCTTTGCTCTTTTCTCCTCCAACTTCCTCTGATCCACAAGAACAAAAAGTGTAAGATCTCTGAAAGATAAAAATATTAATAGCTCTAACAGAGTTTGGTTAAGTAAATGGTTAAGCAAAACAGAAATAGGAGGAAAAAGAACTTTTGTAGATTACTACTGATGGCTGCTTAGCTTATGTGGAAGTGATCAAGTGATTACTTCATAGACAGTACTGTTAGCTTAAGAGTATCTACACAGAAAATTGTGATTATGGACTTTTCAAGTTATATCCTCCATCGCTCATGATATTCTACCATCTGATAGTGATCAGTCTTATCCTACTTATTTGATTGGTTTCTTGAATTCTCTTCTATGTTCATTTGTATAACTGTTATATGAGATGTTAAATTTTTTTTCTGGAACTGTCTATCTGGATGACTTTTGTTTTTGATAATTTCATTTTGGATTTTCTTTTTTTTTTCTTCTTAATTCCTTCACATTTAGTTTACCCATTCAACGTATTGGTGCAGTACTACCTTACATTTTACATGCTTGAAGCCACCGATTATTATAATTTTGTTACTAAATAAAAATATTTAATACCTCATTTAACACCCATAAACAAATGGGGAATGAAGATTCACTCATGATGAATCAGATCTAAATAGTTGGGATAAATTGATGATAATTGTTAAGTGCTAGAAAAATTGAGTCAGTAGAGTCTTGCACGTCTTAGCAATGCATAAAGATTTAGCACTAACAGATAAAAGCAGTAAGACCGGAGAATTTTTTACGTGGAAAACCCGAAAAGGAAAAAAACACATGGCCTAGCCAAGTTGCAAAATCCACTAGATGGTAAGTGATACAAAGATCTTCCCTTCTTTTCATTGTTAGAGAAGAAGGAGAGTATATAAAATCAAGTATGATAGTAACAAGATTTAATTTTCCCAATAGGGATTATAGATGTCCACATATTGACTTTTATACCCAACAACAGAGTTAAATCTTGTCAATACTTTGAAGATGATAGAGATTTTTTATGTTGAACCTCAGTGATGATGATGGTTGTCGGTGGCAATAGCTGGTGATTATCGGCGGCAACGATAACTCGAAAATTCTAGAGAGCACTTCATTGTTCTCCCACTTCCTCTTCCCCTCATGTGAAGAATGAGGTCCTATTTTATAAGTTTGGGAGCGACATTCTTCGTAAACCTGTAAAAAAATCTATGGCAAATTAAGAGTACTCCATCAGACAGTCCACATTGATTCGTTCGATTATAGAGCTTTCATCAAGAATTTAAGTGTCTTAATGATGTCAGAATGAAGTGATTTTAGGCTCATCATATTCGTCTTGTTGAGCAGCTCGATTCAACTATAAGCATGATATATTTGGAGATTATTAATTTACCCAATTAATACTTTGAAGTTTCTAAATATGCTTTAGTCTCTTGGCTCGAGGTTTTGGACTCCTATTAGATTGATTTTGGTGTCATTGGATTCATCTTGTTAAGACATTCAGTTTGATTGTAAGTTTGTTGAAATCTGAGTTCGAATGGTTCAAATTTAATTTTTAAAGTTTCAAATTCAAATACGCCTCAAAATTAGAACTTGATCAAGGTGATTTTTGGTGACATATCATTTTCCTCTTTTCAATCATCAAAGCTCGCATAATCCGAAAATAATAATGATGATAATAATAACGATCATGATGTCGCAGCATTAACAATTTTCCTTTAGCTGGTCTCTTATTCAATCATTAAGTAAGGCAAAAATTAGTTTTAGTACAAATTCTGCTTTGGTTATCATATCTTATTTATATATGATATGTATTTAAAAACTCACTTGATTAGCACAAATCTTTAAACAATATTTGAATTCAAAATTTTCATAATTAAATTCAAAGCCATCCAAACTCTGATTTTAACAAACTTATAGTCTATATGAAGTCTTGAATAGTTGAACTCATCAACATCACAAATAATCCAATCTAAGTCAAAATGAACTCAAATCAAACATCAAAAGTGTATTTAAAAAAATTTTGAACATTAATTGAATGACCAAATAGTCTCCCAATCTCACGTGCTTATAATCAAATCAAGTGGCTTAACCAGAGGAATCAAACGAGCTCAAGATCATTCTATTCTAACATCATTAAGATACTCAGATGAAAGATAAATGGTATATGATCAACCAGATCAATATAGATCGTTTAATGACACTCAAATGATAGATAAATGATATATGATCAACGTGATTAATATAGATTGTTTGATGAAATGTTTTGAATTCTAGTTATTTTTACTTAAATACCCCTCTCAAACAATTATAAATAAAGCCTCATTTTCAAAGTGAAGAAAGTTTGATAACTAAGAAAGCAAAAAAAATCTATTGCATTTAGTTGCGATCATCAGTTGTTTTCAATTTTGTAATCTCATCTTCTTCAATTAAAAAGAAGAGCAAATTTGTGTACCTATAGTTATATAGTTGATTTTGATATAGTACAACCCAAATTGACTATTTTCTTATTAGAAAATTAAATCGTTTAGATTGCAAAGATGGGGGGGGGTGTTACAATTTCTTTATCCGAACATGTAATTTTTGCTGCTAGTTTTTCACTTTTTCCATCACAAAAAATAAAAAAAAAAATAAAAAACTGCCCAAACGAAACCGAAATCCAACAATTTATGAATTGATTCTGAAACTGGAACCCTTGACCTGAGCTTCTCAATCTTTTTACACTTCCTTTCACTCAAATTCCTAGCATTCAAACACATCCTAAGCGGTAGCCCTTCTAATTTCTCGTAACTATATAAGCAAATTTCGAAAGAAACTGTTTCTTCCTCTGAGGTTGAAGAAAACACAGATTTAAGTAGCAGCAATTACATTATAGCTAATTGCAGCCAAAAAGAAACAAGTAAAGCATACTTTTAGGGAACATCTCATACTGTAGTAGATATATAAAAAACGAAGCTCTAAGCTTATAGTAAAATGAATGAAGAACTTCTTAATTACCTCAATCTTCTTCAACCAAGCATTGGCACTATCCACCTGCTCTCCCTCCCAGCCATCGATGATGGCCTTCTGCCTCTGGAACCTGTTCGTGATTCTTGCCACTTCTTCGGCCTCCCACGCCGTTATCTTCGACTCCACCTCCTCCTTCCTCGTGCTTTCCGCCGATATCTGCCGCGGCGGTGGAGGAGGCGGCGGCGGCGGATCTTCGCTGCGGACAATAGCAAGAGGGTTTGCCTCCGGTGATTCGCCGCCCTGTTCGGCGGCTGCATCAATTGGAGCCGTGGCTGTCTCCTTGGCGACCATTTTTTGTCAATCGAGGTCTTCCTTCTGAGAGTAAAGGCAAGCGGAGCAGGAGAGAAGGAATGAGAACAGCGAGCGTGATTGGGAGAAGAAGAATAAGACAATGGGAGGACTTCAAAAAGGAGGTCTGTAATATCAGTTGCTTTTTTTTTTATTTTTGACGGTAAGAATTATTGATTTATTAAGAATGCTGTAAAACAGTGTTTTGGATATTTATAGAGTCCTTATTAATAATTTGTGTCGGCGTTTGATTTATAATATTAAGAAATGCATGACGCCTCATACTACTCACTTTAAAGTAAAGTTGTCAATATTTGACATCACCTATCGAATCAGATTCAAAAATTCATGATTAGAGTCAACTCGTTTGAAAAATGGGTCGAGTTCAAGTTCAAGATTCTAATCTGTTTGTAAAATCGGGTCGGGTTCGGGATAACCCAAAAACTCAAAACTAACTTGCTTTGACCCAGGAATCACATATGCCGTCTCATCTCATCAACATCCAACCGCATGAGTGTGACAGTGTGTGACCACGTTTGACGTCACGTGAGTGCCTGACTTTGTGGTATGCGTCTAACATTTTGTCACGTGAGAGGTTGAGAGCCAAACATCATCCATCGACAAAGTGCCTGACCACGTCTGACGTCACGTGCAGTCGTCCATTGACGCTGTCCCGTGACTACCATCCGTGTTGTCGATGTCGTCCATGTTGGCCAAACCCACTACCCACAAGGCTACACTGCCGCTATGCCTATGGTCATATGTCGATGTCACCAGTTCGTCTGGCTCCTGTAGCGCGCACAAATGTGTGTGATCCTAACCCGCACAGGTCGAGTCGACTCAACCCTATAACCCGCATGGACCGAGTTGTAAAACCCGAAAAATGCCGTTTTAGACCTCGCACGCTTTTCGATGTGTCACGACAAGATTTAAGTGAATTTTTCAAAGTTAACGGATTTTGACGAAAGTAATTTTATAAAATTATATGCAAAATTCTAAAAAATTTGATATATAAAACTTATATTTAATTTTGCTTAATTTTGAATTTAAAATTAGTTGAAATCTCATAATACCCATTATTCCCCGTGTATATAATAAAGCTTTGATTGTTTAAGTGAGGGCAAGATGGACTTTTAGCAATCCCTAAACGTCTCTTCCTCTTAAGGGGACACTTTGTTCGTTTGGCCGAAACCGAGAGAAGAAGCGGAGGCGGAAGGGAGGCGCACGGGCAAGGCTTCGGGCGGTGGCTCCGAAGACTTCTCCAGCGAGGTTCCTGGAAGGAAATTGTAGGGGAAAGCCTAAGGAGCACTAAGGTATATTTCTAAACCTAGAAATCTCTATTTTTCCCTTGGTTTTTTTAGATGACAAAGTTAGGGTTTGGTAAAAACTTCTCATTTTTCTTTAGGAGATGTGTAGGAAAGATTTAGGAGATAATTTTATGCATGGAATGAAGTTTTTCACCAAGAATGTGGAGTTGGAAAAATTAGGGTTTTTCTCTAAAGTTGAAAATTTTGAAAGTGCTTTTGAAAATGTGGTTCCTAAGGGTCCTAAGAGGGTTTTTAAGAAAAGAAAATGAGTTTTTTCACAAAATGGTATTTTCCTATTTTCTAATTATTTTAAATCCGAAAATAAAAATTATTTTAAATTAATTTAGGATATAGAAAAAGGGTTATTTTGGTTAAAATATGTAAGTATAAAAAATTATGAATTTTTAGATTATATTATGCTTGTTTTATGTGATCTTTTGGAGAGAAAGAGAGGGAGAGAGAACTTAGATAGATTAGGAAGAGAATGTGAACTTTAATTTAAATTTATTATGAAGAATTTTGAAGGAAAAATTAATGTTTATAGGTGATAATCTTGATGACCTTGAAGGAAGGAGGATTAGCAAAGAGAAATCAAATTCCCAATTTCTATTAAATATACAAAGTTCTTTAATTACATTAATGTCTTTTATTTCTCTCAAGTTATGATATTACATTTTATGACATTATATGATAAAGTTTATATGTTATATGAAATGAAATGATATAAGATGATATGATTATTATTTTGAGTGATTGTATGTGCATGCTAAATAGATAGAGCTCACCCTCTTATGGTACTAGCTAGGGATGCTGTGCTCGTGCACGTTAAAATGGTAAAGGATATGAAAAAATAAATGATAAAGGAGTACATTTATGATATTAGACGGTGGCTCCTGTGACTATTGTAATTTATACTAAATGAAAAAGTTATGAATATGGAAATGAAAATGAAAGATATTGTTTAATGATATAAGATATGTTTAATGACATATGTGTAAGAAATTAATTTATATTATGTTTTTAATAAAATTGGCATTTAGCATATTGTTCATTTTGTCTTTATTACTGTAGTTTAGAATCGTATTTTATTTACTGAGCTTTAGGTTACTGTTAGTTGTTAACATTTTTCAGGTAAGTTTAAGTAAATCGAAATGAGTAGAAGATGTGGTAACGTATACCGTAGGAGAGGAGCGTCTGAAGAAATGTAACTTTATGATATAAATGATTTTATGTTTATGTGTATTCAAATTTGATGTTTTAGAGGCTCTTTAAAATGTTAAGGTGATAGTTTTAGATATTTTAGTCTACCATCCGAACTCCGTTTCTGCCTCGCCTATGTGAGCTCATCGGGCTGGTTCGTGACACGGGTCCGGGTTGACAATCCTTACCCATTTGCAAAATCAGGGTAAGTTAGGGTCAACTCGGGTTAGACCCGAACCCGACCTATCGATCCGTTTTAATGCGCCCCCCCCCCACGCGCCCTTTAGAATCCTTTTTAATCCCCCCCCCCCCCCCCCTAATTTAAAGTAATTACTAAACACAAAATTGTGTTTTATATTATATTCTTCAATTGAAATGAATTTAATTTATCATATTTATATTTTATTGCAACATATGACTATCATAAATTTATACTTTTATATGTGAAATAAATTATTTTCTAAAATATTTTATAGTGTACTTGTATTCTAATATATTATAGTTTTTACATGTATCATATTATATTAGAGTCGGTGGGCCATAATAGAAAAACTCGCCCTCAAAAGGAGCCCACAACGGAACTTGTATAACAGTGCAAGGGGCTTTATTCAACTTGAACTTGCAAACTATAGTAAATAGGAGCTACTCATCAAGGCTTTCTTGTAGGAATGTATTAGAAGTTTATAGTGGAGACCATATCTACTATTTCCTCTCATAGGATAATTTTTGTTAAAAAGATAAGATGCAGTGTTACTTATAAAAAGTTCATTAAAATCAAAGAGGAGTGTTATAATAATTTACATGGAAACTTACTTTAAAAAAAAATAGCCTTTTGTAATGACTATTTTTATAGTAATTGGACTTTGTTTAATAGTCTGAGATCTAGTAAGATTTGCATATTTATGTAGAATTTGTTATTTTTTATTTGGTTGAATATGGGAGAAATGTTTAATAATTTGCAAGTGACTCTTAGGAGCACTACAACTCTATCTTATTGGCACTACGACATGTCCTCGCTATTTGTGGGCTTATGGTGATATCATGTGACATTATGGTGCTCATCTCTGTGTTTTCAAAAATTTGATAAATGGAAAGTGTATATTGGGAGTGTTGCGGCATTGTCGTATTGGGAGTTGCCACGCTAGGTTTTCTATTTTCAGAACAGTAATCATTCCTTAGGGGTATTGTGGCGCTCAAGTATTGGGCATCACGGAGCTAAGAAAAATTAATTTTCTATACATATTCAAATCCACCATTGCATTGCATTTACCTCATTTCCAAAAACCATGAGAGAAGGGCTAGAGAGAGGAGAAGAGAAATTCGAAGAGAGAGTCTATTTTGTGGATCTTCGGGTTTGTTTTCATCCATTGGGCAATATGGAAAATTTATTCGGCTTGAAGTAGGTTATCTTTACCCAGACTTAAATTTTAAAATTTGTGTGGTTTGTGAACTTTTTGTATTTAATTTAGACAAACTTAACAAAAAAACAAGATATCTCAATATCCAAGAAACTTTCATCGTGTAACTTCTAATATGTTGTTGTTATAATGATTCATCACATATGGGATAATTATTTTGAATTTTCACCAAATATTTTTGATTATGTGGTATTTCAAGTATTTTGATAAGTTTTCAAAAATTAAAAAAAAATGAATATAAAATAGTGAGAACATCGTTACTAAGTTGTTAAGTATTATATATGTTCATGTTTGTGCTACATGCATATGAAGCTGAGTATAAAGATAAATCTTATGTGTTTTTCTATTTCTCGTTATAATTGTTAATTATTAAACACTATTACATCTGAAAGTAAATTGTTCCAATTCAATTAACTTCTAATTCAATAGTATTAATGTTTTATAAAACATTCGTGTAAGATTTCTTGTGTGATTTATAGATTATTGTGAATTATGTGTACATAAATATTGAGACATATAAGGGCCTAAAACTATGTGTAGTGTACTTGAGGGATATAAACTTGAGGGATATAAGAGTTTGATATTGTATATGTGAAATACTTTGGAAGCATAAGGGTCTATTATTGTACATTTGAAGCATTTGGGATTGATATTATACATGTGAAGCAATAGGGACTGATATTGAACATATGAAATACTTTAGTGGTATTAGAGTCTGAGGAGAAATTGATGTGATGTGTTTAATTTCAGTTATCTTCATATTGCAATCTAACAAATATCTTTATATTAAACTTCTATGTTGACATTAGGCTTGATATAAGAGAAAAATTAACATGTTTAGACATTATACTTGTATTACTATTGTAATCATGATTATGAAAGTTCTAAAATTAAACATGTATTGTTTCTATTACTGTGATAAAATTGTGTGTTCATTTATTACTTTTTGGTATATTAAAAATCTAGGTAGGTCATAGTTAACCTATTAAGTGATTGATGCTCATTCCTGCTTATTCTACATATGCAAATTTCATAACATGAAAAGGGAAAAGAAGAAATTGAGTAGAGAGATAAGTGAAAAATTCTTGTTTATTAGTATGCCTTTTTTTTAGTTATCATTTTGTAAACATAGTGATGTACGTTATATGATGATGGACAATGATTGATGTATCATGATTGTTGTAAATATATATTTTG